GCAACAGGCTCACTGGCTACCGAAGCAAGGGCGACGGACTACAGGCGCTGCAGGCGACACGACAGCTACCTCCACACAACCTCCTCCAACTGACCCACACCCTTGACACACACCCCCTGCTGAACCCCTAACTCCACTCCCACGTCACCCCCCTGGCTCCACTCCCCTCGGCTCCCACACCTCCACCCCCCTCAGCAGCAGCTGCAGCAGTGGGAGACGAACAAGGAGGAGGGGAGAGGGAAGGGGAGCACCCACACCGCACACCCCCATGCTCGCCACCCCACACCCCCCACCACCGTGGAACGCACGGCGGCACGGGAGGAACGGGCAGCACGGGGGGGGGGGGGGTGGGGACGGGACAGAAGGGGAGGCCGCGCGCTCCTCCTCGGGGCGCCGAAACGGACAGGCGGGGGGGCGCGCGCGGTTCCCCAGGGCGCCGCGACGGACGGGCGGGGGGCGCGCGCGGCTCCCCAGGGCGACGCAACGGACGGGCGGGGGCCGCGCGCGACTCCCTTGGGCGCCGCGACGGACGGGCGGGTGGCGCACGCAGCTCCCCAGGGCGCCGCGACGGACGGGAGGGGGGGGCGCGCGCGGCCTGCAGGGCGACGCGACGAGACGGGCGGGGGCTGTGCGCGGGTCCCCACAGCCGAAAACCGCCGCGCGCCCCGAGCGCACGGCAGGAAGAAGATGTCGCGCGCCCGAGGCGCGCGAGAAGTAGAACAGCAGCGGAAGCAGTTAGGTGGCGGGCCCACCCACAGGATCGACCCAAGGGGGTCGACCTGCTCTGATAGCATGACAAAAGTAGCAGGACAAAGTTTAGAAACAGAAAGGGGGGTTTCACTAGCAGCAGTTGGGGTACATATAGCAAACCCTAACTGGGTTGTACTCGCTATAGAGCACCCCACTACAGGCTAGATAATAACATTCTGACACTCGGGAGTGCCACGACACACTGAGGACGACTCTTACGGCTCTTGGGTTTGCTCCTTCTACTGCTGACACGTCGTTGTTTCTACGCACCGACACTTCGCTGCCGCCTTTCTACATCCTCGTGTACGTCGACGACTTGGTTTTTGCCACTGCTAACACTGAGGCACTGACTCTAGTGAAGTCGGAGCTGAAGAGGAGACACACGTGCACAGATCTCGGTGAGCTGCGCAGCTATATTGGCTTGCATATCACTCGGGACAGAGCACACCGCACCATCACCTTGACTCAGTCACACATGGTGCAGCAGGTCCTTCAGCGCTTCGACTTCCAGCACTCCTCGCCACACTCCACTATTCTGCCTACCGGTCACTCGCTCTCAGCTCTGCCTTCGGATGAGTCCGTAGAGCCGAGTGGCCCGTATCCAGAGCTTGTGGGCTGCCTCATGTACCTGATGACCTGTACTCGTCCTGACCTTGCTTACCCTCTTAGCATCCTGGCACGCTACGTTGCGCCCGGGAGACACCGACCAGAGCACTGGAAGGCCGCTAAGAGGGTGATGCGCTACTTGTGCAGTACGTCGGGCATGGGGCTCGTGCTTGGTGGACGGGGTCCAGTTGTTCTCACTGGTCACGCAGACGCTTCTTGGGTTGACGACTTGGCTACGCAGCGGTCGTCACAGGGTTACACCTTCAGCCTTGGCTCCGGTTCTGTCTCGTGGCGGTCTACCCGCTCGTCTTCTGTTCTCAGCTCCAGCTGTGAGGCTGATATCTACGCAGGGGCCATGGCTGCACAGGAGCTACGCTGGCTCACCTATCTGCTGACCGACCTGGGCGAGGCGCCTCGTTCTCCTCCAGTTCTGTACGTCGACAACAAGGCAATGCTTGCCTTGTGTCGCGAGCAGAGACTAGAGCACAGAACGAAGCACATTGCTCTGTGCTACTTCCTTGCTCGAGAGTTGCAGCAGCGTGGTCAGCTTCGTCTTGTTTACGTGGCCTCTCAGGCCAACACGGCTGATATCTTCACCAAGGCACTTCAGCCTTGTGATCAGCAGCGGTTCTGTACTGCTCTAGGCCTTGTCCCCACTTGGCCTCACTTGCTCACTTCTTGACTTTGCTTGTACTGTGATCTCTATATATATACCTGCATGCTTACACATGCTACGTTGTGATCACTGTCCTGTTTGTTCTACTTTATATAACTCTGCGTGTGAACTGGCCTTGTGGCCGTTTGCTTGTGCTCGGAATGTGTGGTGACGTCGTGATCCACTCTGAGCTTGCTTTGCTCTTCTTGACTGGTCTTGTGACCTCTTGTTCTCCCCACTTCGCCTATGGGGGTGTGTCAAACTTTTATTCTATAGTCTGTGTAGGCTGTAGTGGGGTAGATAATATGGGGTACAACACTTTTAGGTTTACTACTTGTACCCACCTGCTTCCTAGTCATTTTCATTGCCTCGTACTATTCTCACATTAGAAACCTAGCTTAGGCTAAGAAGCCATGGCTAGGGTTTAGGGTGTTGAAGGTAGCGAGAGAGATGATTTGGCCAAAGAGGAGGGGGTTGACTAAGAAAGATGAGTACAAGATATAGCAAGGAGAAGCATGGTGCACCACCTATAGCAAATGGGATGTGCTACACTCTACACTGCAGACAATTATGAAGAACATATATAAATATATTTCAACAGTTTCTGCCTGCATCGGTCTTGGTCTGACGGTTGCTGCGTCACTTTGACTCTTCTGACTCCTCGACTTCGTACTCGGTAGAGTCTGCCCCTGTAGCATAGAGGAATGTCTTCTCATATGATTTCATATCGTAACATATGGCAAGGCTTAAAGTCAAGGCACCCTTGCAAAATCAGCCAACTCTGTACGTCTACACTTTTGTGGAAAGGGTAATAGACAAAACATGATGCCAAGACAAAAAGAAATGTAATTGTAATCAGTGCGTTTTACCCTTGAAAAATAGGCCATGCCTACACCTCGACAATTCCCAACCTCGGCGATAGGCCCGTGGGGCACCTCTTCGCGAGCGCGGTACCAGTAACAATTGCTTTTGCTATGTAACATTTCGCTCATTCCTCGCTCACTCTATCGTTTTGAATTGATAGTGCAATTGTAGCTCTTTCACTCAATTGCACTCTTAACAGCACTCTGTACTTGTACGCGGTGTAGCGTAAACCGACTACTGGCACTTTGGAGTGGAAAAACTCTCCCATTGGCAGGTGACTGACTGATAAATATCCAACTCAGCAGTGAGAAATTTCATTTCCAACTCAGCTTCTTTGTCCATGTCAGGCCGCTGTTTGTGCTGATTAGGGAGAGAAACATTCCTTGCCGAGCTGTTCCTCCAAGCAGGGAATGCTCCCCGATTCCCGAATTTCCGATGTCGCGCCAGCTCCAAATGGCTGTACTGCACTGTGATTGTGTTCTCGAACGTACGGACGCGACGCGCTCGCACGTATCGCACCCACCCACCCCAGCAGCACAGCGCGGAACTTGCCCACGACACGACACGACACGACCCTCCACCCCAAGCCGCACGTCTGTCAGAGGCATTTTTATTTTCACACGAAAAATTCTCCCCGCAAGTCACGCCTGCGCTAGGCTAGGGTATCTATCACTTTCCGCGGAGCCCGAGCGAGGAAGGTCTTGCGGCGCGGTTACTTGAAGCTACTTAGGAAAGTGAGGAAGCATTCCCCGCGTCGCCAATTTCGGGTTCTTTGTCTCTCTCTACACGTACTGTATCTAGAGTCCGACAGAGACAGGTCACACTCCTCACAAGTGGCTATCTCAACTCAACCAGTTTTTGCCGTGCTGGATCACTCGCGTGGCGTGAAGAGCGACAAGCCGAGTAATGACACATGTTACTCCAGAATCCAGATAGAGCCACACCGCTGTCAGGCTTCCCAACAAGGCGTGGGAGTGAGGATGTGTCGCTAGCGGATCCACCCTGCCTTTGCCGTGACTTGCTGGCAACGCGAGCCTCTGTTTTTGGGGCGAGTGAAGCCTCGCTGGCCCACGCCGCGCCACGCCACGCCACGCCGTATACTATAGTAGTACAATAGTATCTTCAAGACTCACACGGTAGAACTCACACATGAGCAAGAAATATGCCTCGCTGGCTCACACGAGTTGTCTTAATGTCAACACCACGTAGTACTCAAGCATGCCTCGCTGGCCGTGCGGCGGCGCCTGCGCGGAGAGGTGCACCGCTTTTCCGCGCGCTAGCAACACACATTCCTTTTCGCGCATCCCAAGTCGTCCAGCCTTCCGCAAGTTATAGCTGAGGGAAGAAAGTACGGAGCGAAGAAAGTACGGAGAGGAGAAAGCCTCGTAGCTTCCAAAACCGGCCAGCTCCCGCTGGAAGTACGCGGCGCCGTCGAGCTGCAAGGTCAACTTCCGCCCTTTCCCCCCCTCTCTCCCCCCCTCTCGGTCGATGCGCGAATCCACGGAGAATATGCGCCCATCGCGAATTGATAGGCCGACACCACTGCTAGTGCTAGCGCAGTTGAAGGGTGCCATGAGCTTGGTGTCTGGTCCTGGCGCTGCTTTGGCGGGGGGAAGACCTCTCAGGGAAAATTCCGAGGGAGGGGGAAAAGGAGGGGAAAAGGGGGAAGGATGGCGGGAGTCCGTCGCATAGTATATAAGCCTCGCTTGCGGCTCACTAGTACCATATATCACCTGTGCCTGCTTGCAAATTACCACCCCTCGAAAGAGCTACCATTCCTATGCGCCGAAAGGGCTTTTATTCACGGTAGTAGTCTCAAGTACGCGGCCCGTCTCACGTGCGCCTTCTCGTTGCAAGTCTGTGCTTCCCAGCCGACTTCCCCTCCACCGAGGGACTGCCGCCGGCTCAGTCATTCCCAGCGTCACACCAGCGGCATCAGCACGTTATCAGCCGTAGGATCAGCGTCATCACCGGCACCAGACTCGTCATCAGCATCCGCAGCATCAGCATGATGGGTTCGCGTGGCCTCGTGCTCGCTGCACTGGCTGCGGTCATGCTCGCAGGTATGCTCCCATGCACGCAGGTATGCTCTCATGCTCGCAGGTATGCTCTCATGCTCGCAGGTATGCTCCCATGCTCGCAGGTATGCTCTCATGCTCGCAGGTATGCTCCCATGCTCGCAGGTATGCTCTCATGCTCGCAGGTATGCTCCCATGCTCGCAGGTATGCTCTCATGCTCGCAGGTATGCTCTCATGCTCACAGGTATGCTCTCATGCACGCATGCTCTCTCAAGTATGCTCTCACGCTCTCAGACCCTTTCTGTACTCTCCACCACCCTTGCAATTGCTGTCCTCTTTACCTTCCTCTCCTCCCCATCTCCCCCCTCCCCCTCTCCCCCTCCCCCTCACCCCCTGCGCGCCAGCCTGTGCGCCCATGGCGGAGGCCATCCGCGGGCAGCCACCAACTGGGCCGTGCAAGTGGGGCCAGGACAGGGACGCAGCAGGCAACTGCGCTGGTGGGTCACCTATCCCTGCCTCTCTCTCCCTTTCTCTCTGCATGATTCTCGTGTGCCTGCATTCCCTGCGTTCAGAATTACCTGCATGACTGCTTTTTGTATTCCTGAATGCCTGCTCGTCTGCCTCGTTCCAAGGCTCTCAACTCCAGAATCTCTTGCCTCTGTTCCTCCTGCCTGTGCCTCCTTATGCCTGCATGTGCCCCTCACGTGCCTGCATGCGCCCTTCACGTGGACGTGTGTCCTCCACGTGTCACCTGCCTGCTCCAGACACGTGTGTGCTGCGCAACTGCGGCAGCAACTCGAGGTGCTTCAAGGACAATGCGGGCTCGGCCGACTGCGTCGCCCGTAAGTGCCGCCTTCAGGGAAGTGCCGCCTTCAGGGAAGTGCCGCCTTCAGGGAAGTGCCGCCTTCAGGGAAGTGCCGCACGCCCCTTAGTGCCGCACGCCCCTTAGTGCCGCACGCCCCTTAGTGCCGCACGCCCCTTAGTGCCGCACGCCCCTTAGTGCCGCACGCCCCTTAGTGCCGCACGCCCCTTAGTGCCGCACGCCCCTTAGTGCCGCACGCCCCTTAGTGCCGCACGCCCCTTAGTGCCGCACGCCCCTTAGTGCCGCACGCCCCTTAGTGCCGCCTCCAGGGAAGCCAGACCACGTGTTGGTTTCTCATCCACCGTTTGTGCATTGCTCTGCGTCTACCCACCATCTGCAAATGCCGCCCTGCGTTGCGCCCGCTCTGCAGACTCGTGCGATTCCAAACGCCTCGTTCAGCGTGTGCATCGATTCCTCTGTATCTACCCACCATCCGTGATCCCCACCATCCGTGATCCCCACCATCCGTGATCCCCACCATCCGTGATCCCCACCATCCGTGATCCCCACCATCCGTGATCCCCACCATCCGTGATCCCCACCATCCGTGATCCCCACCATCCGTGATCCCCACCATCCGTGATCCCCACCATCCGTGATCCCCACCATCCGTGATCCCCACCATCCGTGATCCCCACCATCCGTGATCCCCACCATCCGTGATCCCCACCATCCGTGATCCCCACCATCCGTGATCCCCACCATCCGTGATCCCCACCATCCGTGATCCCCACCATCCGTGATCCCCACCATCCGTGATCCCCACCATCCGTGATCCCCACCATCCGTGATCCCCACCATCCGTGATCCCCACCATCCGTGATCCCCACCATCCGTGATCCCCACCATCCGTGATCCCCACCATCCGTGATCCCCACCATCCGTGATCCCCACCATCCGTGATCCCCACCATCCGTGATCCCCACCATCCGTGATCCCCACCATCCGTGATCCCCACCATCCGTGATCCCCACCATCCGTGATCCCCACCATCCGTGATCCCCACCATCCGTGATCCCCACCATCCGTGATCCCCACCATCCGTGATCCCAATCCGCCAGACTCGTGCGCGCTGCTGGACTGCGACCCCAACGCCTCGTGCGTGAAGGAGGGCGGCCTCGCCACGTGTGTGTGCAACTCGGGATTTGCCATGACGCCCACCGGCTGCGTTGGTCAGTGCTGCCCTGCTGTGTTGGGAGCTGCCCTGCTCACTGTCCCTGCTTCCCTGCTGACTGTTCCTGCTGTGTTGCTTGCTATACTCGCATCTGCTCTCACATCATCGCCCTCAATCGGTCCATGTATTGATGTAAGCCTATATGTACAAGCATGCATCGGTGATTCACACAGCACCTGGCAAACAAACTACCTGACAGCATGCATTGCCCTCTCTCTCCATGTTCCCCTCTCCCTCGTCCACTCACCTGCAGACACGTGTGTGCTCAAGGACTGTGTGAACGCCGCGTGCAGCAAGGGCGCCGATGGTGCCGCGTCCTGTACTTGCCACCCTGACTTCGCCTTGCAGTCCGACGGCCACATGTGCAAAGGTACGCACTGCACGTGCTTGGGTGCTACTGCCGCCAGAAGCTGCTGTGTGTGTGCTGTGCTGTGTGCTGTGCTGGGTGCTGCGTTGTGCTATTGCGTGTGTCTGGTTTTTATTTCACTTAGGATTAAGATTCTGTGCTGGTGCGTGCTTCTGTAGTGTATGCTGTTGTTCAGTTCCTTTTCAATCCTCTCCGACCCTCCTGGCAGACATATGTGTGATTGCTGACTGCGAGGGCCATGATGCCAACTCTGCTTGCATCAAGACCAACGGTGTGGCATCCTGTGTGTGCAACACCGGATACGCCATGAATGCGGGCGTTTGCACTGGTGCGTTTGCTCGGTCCACCTTATGTGTGTGTGTGTGTGTGTGTGTGTGTGTGTGTGTGTGTGTGTGTGTGTGTGTGTGTGTGTGTGTGTGTGTGTGTGTGTGTGTGTGTGTGTGTGTGTGTGTGTCTGTACGCGCGCGCGTGTGTGTGTGTGCGCGTCTGTCTGTGCGTGTGTGTATGTGTGTGTGTGTGTGTGTGTGTCTGCGTGTGTGTGTGTGTCGGTGCGTGTGTGTGTGTGTCGGTGCGTGTGTGTGTGCATGTCCTCCTGTTATTCTAGTGACTGGATACGGCATGGATGCGGGCGTTTGCACTGGTGCTTTTGCTCAGTCCAGATTGTGTGCGGGTACCTGCATTTCCTTCTGTGTCTCTGAGCGTCTTCGTTTCCGTTCCCACTCTACCTACGGTCCTTGGTTTCCTTGACTTCCCTCCTCTCCTCTCCTAACCCTACTCTCCGCCTCTCTCTCCTCCATCCCTCACTCCACCCAGACACCTGCGAGATTCAGAACTGTGGTGTGAACGGCCGGTGCATCAAGGACGCTACTGGAGCGGCGTCCTGTGTGTGTGACACTGGCTTTGCGCTGCAGGCGGATGGCAGGACGTGCACTGGTACGTGCTGTATCAAGTGTGCGTGTACCTGCATTTCCTTCTGTGTCTGAGTGTCTTTGTTTCCATTCTCACTCTACATACAGTCACACCTTTCCTTGACTCCCCTTGTCTTCTCTCCCAACACTCCTCCCACTTCTCTTTGCCACCCTTCTCCCCACCCAGACAACTGCGAGATTCAGAACTGTGGTGTGAACGGCCAGTGCAAGAAGGACGCTAAGGGAGCGGCGTCCTGTGAATGTAACACTGGTTTTGCGCTGCAGGCGGATGGCAGGACTTGCACTGGTATGTGTTCCTTCCGCCCGTGATGCTATGTGCTTTTGAGCCGCATCTACTTACTGGTGTGTGCTGTGCTGGTGCGTGCTTCTGTAGTGTTTGCTGCTGTTTAGGTCTCCCCGACTCTCCTTGCAAACATGTGTGTGATCGCTGACCGCGAAGATCCTTGACATTGTTTTCTTGTTTGATCCTCTCCCATCAGATGTGTGCGTCATCAGGAACTGTGAAGCCTCTGACGAATATTCCACGTGTGTCAAGACAGGAAACCTTGCGTCCTGTGTGTGCAAGTCTGGATACGCCATGGCAAATGGCATATGCACTGGTACGTTCACTGGTCCTAGTGTGTGTGCGTGCTTGTGTGTTCAATGGCTGCTGTTTGCTTCTGTGTCGCAGCCTAGTGCGTGCAGCTGTGTGCTGTTGTGTTGCCTCTTGCGTGTGACGGTAGCTCCTGCTGTTGCTGAGTTCAAGTTTATCTCGGTTTGGTGTGTTAGAGTTTCATTGTTCTACTCAGCTGTTACACGAAATGTTTCTCTCTACATTCACCCACCCCTGGTCTCACTATTCGTGTCTCGCTCTGCCACGTTCTTTCAACCCAACTCCTTTCCAGATGTGTGCCGTTCCATTCAGTGTTATCCGTCTTTTGCACACTGCGAGGCGTCGCCGGTCACAGGGTTGCCAGTTTGCATTTGCGAATACTATGTCTTGCCGGCGTTGGCAAGCTTATTCCGGTGTGCTTGTAAGTTCCACGCTTTTCAAGTTTGTTTGTTTGTTTGTTTGTTTTCTCGTTGACCCACCTCTTGTTTTCTAAACCCCAACCCATGAACCTCTCACTTTCTCCCTCTCCCTCTCTCTCTTGCTCTCACTGGATTCGTTCTATCCCTTGTGACCGTCCAACAGTTGCCTAGGTCTAACGGCACCCTGACATCGCATCCTCAATACTCTGTAAGGTGCGTGCCAGATTGGGAGTACCATAACTTGCTCTGAAACTTCATTAGGTTGGCTTTGACGAAACGCATGCTTTCCAAGTTTAGTTTTCACAACGGGGTTGAGGTCTAGCATGACAATGAATCCAGGTTTCCTCACCCTATCCCCACGAACTCCTTCAACGTTAATTTTCCGCTCCTTCTGCATGTCTCTTGCATCCTGTTTGTCTCCCCCCTCAACAGACAAGGTGCCCTCAGAATAACGGTGAGCCACATCCACTCCCGCAACGACAATTGTCATCCGTCCCATCCGTGCCCCGGTGAAGGCACATCCTCATCGTTCCTGTGACGGCACCCCCTCATCACTTGTGTGGCGGCCCACCCTCAATCACTCCCAAGAAGGCCGACCCTCATCAGCCAGTCCGGTCATCCCTATAGCCACTCCCATCATCCCATCACCATCACTAGTCTTCCAGCTAATTCTTCTTGCAAAATAGGGCTCAGCGGGATTCTTTTTCTTGTTGCTTTTGGCCGATTGTGGGGTGCGCTAGTTGGCCTAATAATCGGCTCTTGTTTGTTTTCTGTGGGGTTGGTTACAGCAGCTGTAGTACGTCCCAAAAAAGAATGTACCCATCAGAGTACATGACAGCTAGGGCTGTTTGCTTGTATTACTCTATACTTTGCTGTTCTATATTCACCTCCCCTTTATAGGACCGATGGGGCTTCTCTAAACTGTTGTGAAATTTGAATAGGTGAACAATACTAATGGGGATTTGCACTCGTAACACCCATCAATAAATCTCCAGCAAACATTCCAGGCGCCTCGCGAAATTCGCATCTGCTCAAATTTCTCGTCAGCACCACTGTTCATCGTCCCAAACATCAGGATGTATGGGCACACCGACCACACCAACCCCCAGTCAATCAGGTGATCAAACTATGTGGATGCAAAAAGGGACGAACCAGGTACCCATGTTGCGTACCAGTGACGAAAGGAATGGCGCTCGAGACAAAAATCGAGACTCCAGAGTCGTATGACTGGTTCGATTTCCATCACACATCAAATACTGTACGTTTTTCCGATCCGTTCAGATTGAAACGAAGGAAAAAGGACCCGCCCTCATAACCCGCAGATCTGTGCCGATCACTTGGTTACGAGTCAAACTGTTGTCGCCACACCGCCATCGTTCGCGAATCAGCTCACCCATCAGTCCCTCGCGTCACACACCATCCTTGCATTTTCGAGTCGAGCCCAGGCCTGTCGATTGACGGGCATATGCCCTTAATGCCCTGAACATTAAGGGCTAGTTTCGCTCCAGCTCCAATGCGTCAAGTTTTTGTTTCGCACCCCACCCGTGCCACTAAGTGCTTCATTCGACCCTTGCCCGGATGCGTTAAGGGACGAAACCAGGCCTTCCCCTTTATCTAAGTTTTGGTTTCAGATCGTAGGACCCCCCCCCCCCCCCCCCCTCCCCCCCCTCTTTCTCCTTAGCCTGCACTAGAGCGCGCCAAGGGGATTTTTCCCTTAGCGTTTTGTAGCCAATCCCGTGTGTGTAGCGTGTCTCTCAGTCAGCCTAGGAGCACCCGCACATTCCCTTAGCGTCCAATACGAGCTGGCCGCAGTGTACAGCTGTGACACATGGGATTATCTTGGGTAAATCTGGCTAAGTTGTTTGGCCACAGAGACATCTAAGACACTAAAACACAGCACGTCAAAGGAACTGAAGCACTCCAGCGCAGCAGCTCCCTCCCTCACCACCTTCGTTCGTGCGAGCCACGATTCCTCTCCACCACCATGCAATCCATCCACCACCACATCCCACCCATGTTTTCTCTTCCGCACCGTCCCACCACCTCCACGGTATCATCCACCCAAGCCCTCAGCTCTCCCCTCCCCTCTCGTACGTGCCATGCTATGGCACTTCTCCTCCACCCAACCACTCTGCCGAGTAAACCTCGCGTCGCCTAGCTCACGCACGCGATGTTTATAGTATGGGTAGCTAACCCGTTCGCTTCGTCAGCCACATTCTCCCACAATGGATCCTAGCGAGGGTGAAACCCCTCCTCCAGTTTTGCCCATGTCGAACGTTAGTCATTCTCATACTACGACCGAGACCGAGCCTTACGTACCCTCGGATGCTGAAGACATGCTAGACGTAGCAATCTCAGTGTTGGACCCGCGCCTCGCCCAGCAAGCATCATCGTCACAGACTACACCTCTGTCAGCAGCCCGCTACCGTCAGGTTCACCTTAGCTTCGCAAGTCCGCCACCAGATTCGCGAAAGCGCGCACGAAGCGTACCGCCTCCACCCACTGCTGAGGAGCTGGAGGCGCAGGACAAGGCTATCGCCGAGGATGCAGAAGTGCCCCCGGACACCGAGATCCCTGCTGCTGAGAAGGGTATGGCACGTCGCTTCAGCCCGTCGTGGAAGCAGACGTACTCGTGGCTGACACTGAAGTACAACAAAGAGGAGCGCCTGTATGGTATGAAGTGTTCCGTGTGCTGTAAGTTCGCTCCTAACACCAAGTCTCCCTTTGGCGGTGCTGGCGTCGGTGCAAGGGACTTTCAGAAGTCGGCGTGCCGCAACCATGACCAGTCCAAGGTGCACCTCGCGGCCATGGAAGCAGAACGACTCGCTGCTGGCACGGAGGTGAGGCAGCGCAGCCTCGTGAACATGCTCAGCGGCGATCCAGTCATGGCGAGGGTCGTCAAATGCATGCAAGCAGCTCAGTGGATTGCGCAGAACGATGCACCGATCGCTCTCTACCCCATGCTGGTGCGGTTCATGGCGGAGCAAGGATGCCCCGACATGATGAACAGCGAATCCTACGGGCGTTATTACTCGCGGTAAGTGTTTGTTACCCTCTGGTTCTGCACCTAATGTCCTGCTGTTTCTTCTCTTCGTTGCCTCTGTATTTTCGTACTTGTGCTTGTGTTATACTGTGAGTAACGTACATTTGGTGCTCATTGCAGATACGCCTTCGGCGAGTTCGTAGAGGCTATGGCGGAGCATCTGGTGGCCAGGCAGCTCGTGGACGTCAAAGAGTCGGCCTGGTACAGCCTCTCCTTCGATGAATCCACGGATCGCGCCCGTGGAAAGCACCTCATCGTGTATGTCACGTTTGAGAGAGGCGAGGCCGTGGTGTCCCAGTTTCTTGCTCTCCTGTCGCTCGAGCGTTGCGACGCCGCTGCACTGTACGACACGATCGTGAAGTGCCTGTGGTCGAAGGACATGTCGATGGACAAGCTTGTCGGGGTTTCAACGGATGGTGCATCCGTCATGACTGGCTCGAAGAACGGAGTTGTCGCCCTGCTTCGGAAACGTTGCCCGTGGCTGGTGGCGATTCACTGCGTGGCGCATCGGTAAGGTTGCACTGCAATGTCCTGTTATCTTATTACCGTCGCCATACGTACTCACTAACCTGTCGTGCTTGTGCAGCGAGGCATTGGCTGCAAAGGATGCCGCGAAGAGCTTCAAGGAGTTCAACGTCGTCGATCAGATGATACGCCAGACTGCCGAGCGTCTCGGGCGTTCATCGACCGATCACAAGACCTACATGCATCTCCAGGACGTCATTCTGAAGACGCACCTGGAGGTGCAAGGCTTCTACACCGTCCGTTGGCTGTCTCGCGGAGATGCTGTGAATCGCTTCTGCGACGTGCTGCCGGTGCTGATGTGGATGTGGACGAAGGAGAAGGACGGGATGGAGAAACTCGCTACCAGCTTCAAGTTCCACTACATGCTTTACCTCCTGGCTGACGTGCTGCAGCTGCTCAACGGACTCAATCTTGCCTTCCAGAAGCAGACGGTAAGATTGACATGAACATGTACTAGGCGCTTCTTCTCTTAAGTGCTTGGTTCTAATGTTTTCCCGCTCCGTTTGATTTCAGGTCGACATCACAGAGGTGAAGAATCACGTCGACAAGGTGAAGACCAAGCTGTCGCAGTACTACGTCGAGCCCAGCGCATCCTACGGGCCGAACACCTCTCGCCTGAACAAGTTCCTTGCTGCACACGGCAGCAAGGACAAGCGCAAGATGGAGCTCAAGGGAGTGGGTGGCGACGGCAAACCTGCAAAAGCCGAGATCGAGCTCCACGAGGACATCATCGACCCTGAAAACCCGGGGGGGGGATGCGACTTGGAGGCCTGCGTGGACCTGGCGCGGCGTTTCGCTCAGCGCCTGATTAAGGCGCTGGGGAAGAGGATGGCGGACCTGCGCCATTTCGATGGTGTTGGGTTTTTCACCCCTGATAAGTATCCCTTCCGTGCAGGAGAGCAGGACACATGGCTGCAGCACCATCTCACCGAGCTCCTGGACATGTTCAAGAACCAACTACCTGGTAAGCCTAGATTAGTATGAAAGGAACCCACGTATGTTCTAACTTTGTACGTATTATGCTCAGACAATGACGTAATCTAACTTTGTATATGTCCTTGGCAGGAGTCGCTCTTGCTGACATAGAGCCGCAGATGCGCCTCTTCACAGCCACCATGGAGAAGAAGTTCAAGAAGCAGAGCTTCCATCAGGCTCTCACCAACATGCTGCGCACTGCAGACTGGAAGGATGACTATCCCACCATAGTCTCTCTCTGGCGTGCGGTCTCTGTGTTGCCCCTCAGCACTGTTGAGTGTGAGAGGGGCTTCTCCCGCCAAAACATTATTAAGTCGTGGGATCGTGTTGCTCTTACTGATGTTAGGCTGGGGGAGCTGATGACGGTGAAGATGCTAGACTACCCGGTGGACTGGGCAGCGGCCTATGCCTTGTTTGAGGATAAGGGGAGGAAGGGGAGGAAGCCTGCCAACTAGGCTCGCATTGGATGTCGGGTTAGAGTAGATTAGCTGAGCTCTGCATGCCATATCTGTAGTTAGTGTAGAGAATAAGAACTTTGCAGGCTAGGTAGGTTTTATGACTATTTAAGACATGTGGAGTGTTAGGTGTCTTTGACTTCTAATTTAAGTACATAACAGCACTTATCATAGTAAAATGAAGTGTAAGTGCAAACTTCAAACATGCCCTGATTTCAAGTTCTGACTTTGGGGTGCGCCCGTGACCCTTAAAGCCAGGATCTCAAGTAGTTCAATTGTTTTGCAGTTGGTGAGGGGAGCTGGGCTGCGATTGGTTAGCGAGGTGAACAATCTGACGAGGTGTGAAGCGAGGGGTGCGAAGTAAAGACAAATCGCAAGTTCAGTCCGAACCAAGCAAGGCTCGGAAACTGGTTCGGTGACGAAGCTCCAATGCCTGCAATTTCTCGTCACACACAACAATCTCATGTACCAGCAAAATGTTTTGCATTTGCTCTAGGGGCAAAATCGTGGGTGTGCCGCACGCTCACTTTCCTAACCAGCCAGTCAATTCGCCTACAAAAATAGGGTAACAAGCGCTGCAAGTGTTTTGCAATTGAAGGCCAATTCTCTTACTTGAGATCCTGGCTTTAAGGGCGCCAAAACGCTCACCTACCCCCAACCAAGGGTCAGATTGGGAGGAGCTGGGGAGCGCAAGTACGAGCCCCAGGAACTTCGACAGGCCTGGTCGAGCCCTCTCTCGACCCAAGTTCCTCGCTAGTTTCCTCTTCTCATTTGACTCGCCGGCCTGTTGAGCTAGTTTGGTGGGGTCAGGTGGGGTAGGTAAAGCAGGCCGTGCCGTCCGTCTATCCAGTGCTTGCTTCAACAAGCGGTATTTGGAGAAAAGGGAGGCAACGGACTTCAGGACTCCGTGCTTGTCGAACTTGACGCTCGCGCGTCCTAATTTAGGCCGTAATGGTTAGTTGCTAACCTTATCCAGACCGTCCGTGCGTGATTCCTTTATTTTGTTTTCTTTTTTCCTAATGCTGATCTTGACTCTAGCGGCAAGTTCGCCGGTTTTGATTTTTTATTCTCATTGGTTACTTTCCAACCCTAATTTACTACTCCGCCTAGGACCCCTTGCGATTTCATCTGTCTCTGTATCTGTTTGTACCTCGTCTTCTCTCGTTTCTCTCGATCCCCTCGTTTGTCGCAGGGTCGGAAGTTTCTGTGCATTCTGCTGATCGCGATTCTTGTCGCGGCCAGTTTCCACGTGTCTGAATGCAAGAAGAAGAAGAAAAAGCGGACAGTAGCGACGGAACCAGCACTTGACGAAAGCGAAACCACCACAGTGGTAACCCGATCTGCAACGAAAACGGCAGCAGCAGGCGAAACAGCGTCGCAGAATGACGAACCAGCTGCGGACGCGGCAGCAGCCGACGAAGACGCAGACGCCGACGCGCCTTCGGAAACTATTCCCCCGAGGAAGCCGGCAGCCACTATAACGCCGGCTACTAAGGCGGCGGCTGCTACGGCGGGAGATGCGGAGGAAGATGCGGAAGTAGCGGAAGCCGCTTCGACAGCTGATGCTGACGTGGCGACGAAGGGCGACGACGCCGATGGCGACGCGGCTGAGGCTGACGCCGCCGCAGATGCCGCCGAGCCGGACGCCGCGGATGCCGCTGCGGAAGACGGCGCAGCGGCAAAGGCGGCGACAGGCAAGCCAGTCGCGGCGGACGACGATGCCGCTGCAGCTGATGCGGAAGGCACGGAAGAGGCGGAAGGCGCTGCGGCTGGTGGGACCACAGACGACGCGGCTGCGGGTGGTACTGCGACTGCAGCAGCGGCGGCGACGGCGGCGGCGGCGGAGAAGCCGAGTTCGGCTCCTGGGTCCGTGTCCGATGCTGGCCCTCTTGCATGGAAATCCGCTAATATGTCGCGCGACGACATTGATCCCAAAGGTGAGACGACGAGTTTTGAGACGTCCCAAACTGGGCTGCTCGCATGGGAATTCGCGTCGCCAGCAGCATGTTGCGAAAGAGACATGGACCTCAAATGTGAGTCGGGCTGCTCGAATGGGACTTCGGCAACATGTCGTGAGACGACGTGGATCCCAGAGGTGAGGACGTGGATCCCAGAGACGAGACGACTAGATTAGAGACGTGCGAGAACTGGATCCCCCAACAGGTTGCGCGACGACGTGGATCCCAAAGGTGGGCCCCTGCTGACCGTAAAGCGAAGGGGGGTTACGCATTTGACTTGGCTGGTTGCTGTGGGCGGGTATCCATGCAGTGGGGCCAGACAGAACAAGAAGTTGCCAGCACGAAGCGAAAACGCTTTAATTGCCACCACTTCGCCATGGCAAACACGAATGGCATTCGATAATTACATCCAACACCCACATGGATACTACACCCCGCTCCCCCCTCCAGGCCCATGTGGGCGCGACTCCAAGTTCCGCTGCCTGCCAGGGCATGGGTCCGGGGAACGAAGGCTGGGTTTGCTTTGCTTGTTAGTCGCGACATGGCACTACCCTCTACGTGGTTATTCAATCCCCTCTACGTGGTTATTCAATCCCCTCAACGTGTTATTCATTCCCCTCCACATGGTTTCCCCTCTCCTCGCCAGGCCCGTGTCGCCGCGACATCAAGCTGCACTGCCAGGGCGTGGAGCCGGGCAACGCGGTGCTGTCGCTGTGCCTCACCTTCCACGTCAAGAATGAGAAGTCGGGCAACGAGCTCGGGGGTGAGTGAGCGCGTGTCAGTAAGCTGGGGGGTGAGTTGAGGGAAGGGAACCAACTGGTGACAGTTTCTGGTCTGATCGTTTTGTCATGTCATCCGTCTCGTCTCTGCCCACCTCCCTTCCACACAACCTGCTTTGCTTGTGTGTGCCGGCTCCTGTCTGCATCTGCATATGCGTGTGCCCGCATGAGCATGAGCATGAGCATGAGCATGAGCATGAGCATGAGCATGAGCATGAGCATGAGCATGCTGCAGCGTCACCCATGCAACCCGTGGGTTCCATGTTCTGACTTTAATCATTCGTTGCTTGCCCGAGGCGGTCATGTCATCTGTGCTGCTGCTGCTGCTGTGGTGCCGTGGCATGGCAGGCCCCAAGGTATCCAAGAAGTGCAAGAAGGACGTGCGCGCGTTCAGGGCGGAGATGTACAAGGACCTCAGCATGGACAAGGCATTGGGTGAGTGCTTCCCTTGCTTTGTTGCATAACAAGGCGTGCTTGCTTGTATCGGTTTACCTCAGCATGGACAAGGCGCTCGGTGAGTGCTTCCCATGCTTTGTGAAACACGGCCGGCCAGCTTGTATCGTAGTATTGGCTTTTGTCTTTATTTGCGCTCAGGGCCGAGATGTACAAGACAAGGGTCTCAGCTCAGATTCTCAGCAGGGACAAGGCGCTGGGTGAGTGGTCATTGCTCGTCATGCTTTGCTGCAGAACAAGGCTTGCTTGTATCGGTTCCCATTCTATCGTGTTCAGGGCCGGCCGAGGTGTGCAAGGATCTCAGCATGGACGAGGAGTTGGGGGAGTGCTTTCATGTTGTGTGTAGAACAAGGCGTGCTTATATCGCGTCACGTCCAGGCTCGAGATGCACAAGGACACCAGCATGGACAAGGGGCGCTGGATGAGTGCTTCTTCTTTGTGGAACAAGCCAGCCTAGCTGCCATCGGCTGTTGTCTTAACCTTGTCCTTCCGTTTCTCTCCTGATCTGTTTGTCTGTCTGTCTGCCTGCCTGTCTGCCTGTCTGCCTGCCTGCCTGCCTGCCTGCCTGCCTGCCTGCCTGCCTGCCTGCCTGCCTGCCTGCCTGCCTGTCTGTCTGTCTTTCTGCCTTCCCTGGTGGTTGCCCGCGCTGTGTGCGTGCGTGTGTGCGTGCGTGTGTGCGTGCGTGTGTGTGTGCATGTGCGATTCTCTCTGCACTGCACGCACATGGCATGGCATGGGAGCAGCAACGGCATGCAAGGCGGACATCACCAAGTTCTGTGACGACGACTTCCTCTACCCCGAGCCCGGCAACGTCGTTGCCTGCCTCAGGTGCGCCTCTCCTCTCCTCTCCTCTCCTCTCCTCTCCTCTCCGCTCCTCTCCATTCATTGGATACCCATGTCCCAGTTTGCTTTGAGTCGTCGCAGAGCGGGCAGTACCCACTCGGGCGGTTTTGTGACAAGTTCTGTGATGATGCCATGACTTGCTCTCTACCAAGGGCCCGGCAGCGTTGTGTTGTGACCGACACGAGTCGGGCAGAGGTGCTGTAATGCTCTAAACCCTCCCCTCGCCTCCCTCCCCCCACACTCCCCTCGCCTCCCTCCCTCCTTCCACCTTCCCCTCCCATTCCCCCCACACTGCCCCCACTCCCCTCCCCCAGGGAGGTGAACCAGATGGAGAAGCTGGCAGACGATTACCGGGCGGAGGTGCTGCGATGTTCCCAACCCAACGTCTTCAACCTTTCTCTCCCACCAACCCACCCACTTAACCCATCCTCTTCCTCCCCCCATTCCCCCCTCCACGCTCCCCCCTCCCAGGGAGGTGAACCAGGTGGAGAAGCTGGCGGACGAGTGCCGGGCGGAGGTGCTGCGGGCGCAGCTGGAGGCGGCGGAGGATTTCAAGATGGACCCGCAGCTCAACCAGCTCTGCTCCGCCGAGGCTGACCGCCTCTGCAAGGGCGTCGAGCCGGGGGAAGGGCGCGTTCAGGAGTGCCTGGTGGGTGCCTTGTGCTTATGGGAGGGCTTGATGGGTTGGTGGTGCTTGGTTTGGTGGATTGGTGGTGCTTGGTGGGTTGCTGGTGCTTGGTGGGTTGGTGGCGCTTGGTGGGTTGCTGGTGCTTGGTGGATTGGTGGTGCTTGGTGGGTTGCTGGTGCTTGGTGGGTTGGTGGCGCTTGGTGGGTTGCTGGTGCTTGGTGGGTTGGTGGTGCTTGGTGGGTTGCTGGTGCTTGGTGGGTTGGTGCCGCTTGGTGGGTTGCTGGTGCCTGGTTTGGTGGGTTGGTGGCGCTTGGTGGGTTGCTGGTGCTTGGTTTGGTGGGTTGGTGGTGCTTGGTGGGTTGGTGGTGCTTGGTGGGTTGGTGGCGCTTGGTTTGGTGGGTTGGTGGTGCTTGGTGGGTTGGTGGTGCTTGGTGGGTTGGTGGCGCTTTGGAGAGTGCCTGGTGGGAGGGAGGATGGTGCGTGCTGAGTGGCTGGCGCATGTGATGAGAGTATTTTCGCCACCTCAGTAGCGTGCTATCAAAGTCAGCAATGCACGTTCCTTCTCTCGCTCCTCTTCTTTCCCCCGCTCTTGCCACCTTCTCTCCCCCCGCCCCCCCCAACCCTTCCCGACCCTCCGGCCCTCTCTGCACTTTCCAAGCAACTCATCAAGCTGCCCTGATCTGCCAGGCAGATAAATTTCTTAGTCAAAAGTCACCTCATCCCGCCCTCCCCCCGCACCCTCCTCCCGCCCTCTTCCCACACTGAATGCGCCCTCGCCCTGCTCTGCTAGGCGGGTCAATTTCTTAATCGTCTAAAAAATCACCTCTTCCTGCCCTCCTCCCACCCCTCACTCCTCCCACCCCCCACTCCTCCCGCCCCCCTCCAACCCTCTTCCCACCCTCCTACCGCCCTCCCTGCCTCCTCCCGCCCTCCTCCCGCCCTCCTCCCGCCCTCCTCCCGCCCTCCTCCCCTCCTCCCCGCCCTCGCCTCTCCCCTCTACCCCCTCCCGCTCCCCCCACTCTCACCGCAGAGAGAGCACCGAGCGCAGCTGGCGTGGGACTGTCAGGCGGAGCTGTTTCGGCAGGAGGTGGAGAACGCGGGGGACATCCGCCTCAACGTGCGCCTCTTCCAGGCGTGCCTCAACGACCAGCGCCGCTTCTGTGCCGACGTCAAGTACGGCGATGCGCGCGTCAAAGACTGCCTGGAGGACCACCGCCTCGACCCCGACTTCTCGCCCTCCTGGTCAGTGCCTGCCTGCCATTGCTTTGACGATGTGCCAAAACGTGACCTTGCTGCTGCATGACCTCTCTTTACCCCTCCCACATCCCCCCCACCCCCCACCTGTCCCCCCCCCTCCTCCCCTTTCCCCTTTCCTGCATTTCTCCACGAACCTTGTGTTTCCTTCTGCGATCTCCATGCTACCCCCACCGTCCTCCCATCTCTTCTTCCACGCCCATGGTTGGTCGCAACAAGTCGGTGATTGAGAAACGGTTGGCGAGGCGGGCCACTGATTTCTTTCTGTGCTATTTCCGGGTTTAAACCTCCCTCTCTCTAACCGCCCCTCTTGCCAACCGTCCCTCTCCTTCTCCCCTCTCGCCCTCCCCCTTTTTGCTCCCCCGTTTGCTGGCTGGCAGCAAGACGGAGTTTGAGCAGATGATGGCGCGGCGCGCCACTGACTTCCGCCTCGACGCAAATCTGCGCAAATACTGCAAGGGGGACATTGCAGAGGTGAGTGAGGGGGATATTGCGGAGGTGAGGGGGACATTGCGGAGGTAAGGGGGACATTGCGGAGGTGAGGAGAGTGGAAGGGAAAGCACCCGAGACTGCTTGCCGCTGCTTACGGACAGGGAGCGATTTGGAGGACTCACTCTCTCTCCTTTCTCCCCACTCGCCTCTCTCCCGTCGCACCTTTCCCCTCGTCCATCGTCCTTTCCCCTTCCCTCCTCTCCCCTGCCCCTCACTCCCTTGTCCCCCGCCCCATCTCCCCTTCGGTCCTCGCCCGTCGCCCCTTAACTCAACCCTCGCCCCCTCCCCCCATCGCCCTATCGCCCCCTCACCCCCTCCCCCCATCGCTCCCTCACCCCCTCCCCCCATCGCCCCCTCCCTCCATCGCCCCTCCCTCCATCGCCCCCTCTCCCCCTCCCCCCGTCGCCCCCTCCCCCCATCGCCCCCGCTCCCCATCGCCCCCTCCCCCCGTCGCCCCCTCGCCCCTCGACCCTCGCCCGTCCACCCCTGCTGCCCTTCCTCTCCTCACAGATCTGCTACCCAGACGCGGAGGACATATCGGACGTGGCGAATTTCGATGCCAAGGTGATCGAGTGTCTGCAGGACTACCGGGAGGAGCTCAAGGACCCCAAGTGCAAGGCCGCCGTGCACCGCCTCACCGCCCGCGCTGCTGAGAGCATCCGCTTTGATCGGCCCCTGGCTGACGCCTGTCACGGTGAGTGCTGCTAGTGCTGCTAGGCCTGCTAGGCCTGCTACAGTAGGTGAGTGGTGGTGTGGTGGGGGACTGACTGACTGCAGGGACGAGCTCAAAGTCCTTCTTTGACGTACAGGTGAGGGAGCGCGTTTTGTTGTTGTGAGGTGTGGGACAGGAGGGAGGATCCTTGTCCGGTGCTGCGATGTAGGTCTGACCCTGACCTGACATAGTGAGTGAGAGTGCTGGCTGGTGTGGTGAATGGTGGTGAGTGGACGAGCTCAAGAACCCCAAGTGCACTGAGACGTCTCAACACACTACTTTGATCAAGTGCAAGGCCGCTGTGCTGTGCACCGCCTCACCGAGCTCGCTGCTGAGAGCATCCGCTCTGACCACCTGCTGGCAGACGACCTGCCACGGTGGTTGCAGCAATGCAAGGCCTCCTGCCCTGGCAGGTGCCTGCTATGCTGAGTGCTCTGCTCTGGTGTGGCAGTTGCTCAAGTAAACCAACCTGTTCCATTTTCCTTACGCTCACCTCCCCTCCCCTGCAGAGCTTAGTGGGAATATACGCGTATCGTATATACGCTAACGTATATTCACTAAACGCTTAAGGGTCGATTTGGTAATACGCTTTTTCGGGCAGGTGAAAAATTATCTCGGGCAGTGTGAAAAAACGTCGTGCTCAACATTGGGAAGGTGTTCCCTATTCTCACTAAGACTTTCGTAGCATTTCCCTGAGTCTGAATGGCGATTGGGGTGGGATGTGGAGTAGACACTAGAAGGAGAAGTAGGTAGGAATCGGAAGAAGCTCTGCTGTTAGGAAGCGGGAACGTCAACTAGAAATGACGACTGGAATTTTGCTGGCTGTTAAGTAACGTGAGTGGGGTTTGGTGGGGGACATTTTTGACAGGTTGGAGTTCGTAGATAAGATGGGTTTCAATGCGGTACTAATCTAATTTTCAAATTTGAACTGCCTGCAATCTTCGAAGGCACATTCGCGCTTCCCTAAACCATCGAAATGCATTTCGACTTTGGCGAAATGCTCAGCAGAACATTCCGCATCTTTCTGTATACAAGCGATTTTTTTACTCGGGCAGCCCAAAAAACTTTCTGATAGCGTATAGCGTATTAGCTAGCGTATCGCGTTTTGCGTACACACGCTAGCGTATATACGCTATACGCTTTAGGGTTTGAGCGTATATTCCCACTAAGCTGTAGAGGACCGCACGACCATGTGCCGGGGTGTGCGAGCTTGCCGCAGGTGTTTCTGTGTCTGCAGCACGGGCTGATTTTTTTCCTTCCTTTCCACAAATCCTCCCCTCCTCCTCCCCCCCACCGTAACGCTGCCTTTCTTACCGTCCTCCCCCTCCCCCCTCGTTCCCGCTCTCCCTGCTCTGCAGAGGACCGCACGACCATCTGCCGGGATGTGCCGGACGGCATGGCGCAGGTGTTTCTGTGTCTGCAGGACAACATGGGCAAGCTCAAGGAGTCGTGCCGCACCGCGCTCTTTGAACAGGTGAGCGCGAGCGGGTCACTAGGCGCTTCCATAAGCACCAGCAGGTATGGCACCAGCAGGTATGGCACCAACAGGTATGGCACCAGCAGGTATGGCACTAGCAGGTATGGCACCAGCAGGTATGGTACCAGCAGGTATGGCACCTGCAGGTATGGCACCAGCAGGTATGGCACCAGCAGGTATGGCACCAGCAGGTATGGCACCTGCAGGTATGGCACCTGCAGGTATGGCACCTGCAGGTATGGCACCTGCAGGTATGGGTGGGTCACCAGGGGCAATTCACCCCTGGTGTTCATGACCATGACCATGACCATAACCATGACCATGACCATGTCGCTTGATGGTGGCAGTCAAGTTCCCCACGTGTCTTCCCAGTTGCTCCGTAATCCAACAGCCTCCTCGTTTCTACCTGCGCTTTGTCCCTCGTGTGGCACAACCCCAACCCACTCCACCGCGCATTGATTGCACCCATGGGTGGCAGCTGGTGCGCATGGCGGAGGACATGGACTTTAAGTTCCCCATGAATCGATTCCAGTTGCTGCCTGACGCAGCACCCTATGCACATATGAGTGCTCATTCTAACCAATTCCACCCGATTGCACCCCACCCCACCCCACCCCACACTACTCCACCCCACCTCACCCCATTCCACCCCACAGCTGGTGCGCATGGCGGAGGACATCGACTTCAAGTTCCCCATGAAGCGCGCCTGCGCCTCGGAGCTGCAGAAGTTCTGCAAAGACATCCCGCATGGTATGGTGTAGGGGGGGGAGAAAGGGATGGGGGGAGGAAGGGGGGTGCTGGTATGCTGGGGGTATGCTGGGGGTATGCTGGGGCTGGGGGTATGCTGGGGGTATGCTGGGGGTATGCTGGGGGTATGCTGGGGGCGGGGGGTGGGGTGGTGCCATGGTGCCATGGTGGCATGGTGGAGTGGTGGAGTGTCAGTCAGGCATAAACCGTTCTGCATGGTGTGCCATGGTGTCATTGTATGCTGGTCCCGGAATGGTGAAGGTGCTGACTAGCATGTGCGCTTGTCAAGACCTGATAATACCTTGACGCTATCCTCTTCACAAGAGGATTGGCTATAATTGGCCAACGTCGGAAGATCGCTAATATAATCTGCCTCCCACATTCCTTCCTTCGCGCACCATTCACCCCGTTTTCCTCCGCTGTCTGTCCTCCCCTCTCCTCCTCTCTCCTCCCCTGCCCTCCCTCTCATCCCCTCTCTTCCCTTACCCTCCCATGTTTGTCTATGTCTCTCCCTGCCCCTCCCCGGCAGGCCATGCAGCGAGGGTGAAGTGTCTGCAGGAGAGCATAGACAGTGCGGACATGGGAGAGGAGTGCCGCAAGGAGGTCAAGCGCGACATGGCCCGCTCAGCCGGAGGTGCGCCGCTACCTTTCTTCCTTCCGCCTCGCTGCTCGTTTGTTCCCTCTTGTTGGATTTTGTTTCTCACCGAGCTTGGTCTGTCTGCAAGAAGCGTTTGCATTATCCGCCGTCCGCTTCCCATGTCTTTCCCTCCTCGGTCCTCCCCTCTTCCCCTCCTTCTTGCGGCCTCTTCTTCCCCCCCTCCCCCATCCCCTCTTTCTCTCATATCACATTCACCATTCACTGTCCGATTAGATTCGTTCCCACTGCCCTATTTCCCTCTCACTCAGCTTGCCTCTTCTTTCCCATTGGCTTCCGTCGCCCTGTCCTCCCTCACCACCTACCGTTCCTTTTGAAACAACCGGTTGAACCACCATTGTTCCCGAAATGGGCACCATCTTCCCCTCTTTCTCCCCTCCTCTGCCTCACACCCATCACCCCCCCTTCCCACCGCCCCGTTCAAAGTACCGTCTCAACTACCGCCTGCACTCTGCATGCCTGCCTGAAATCCATGCATGCGTGCCTGAAATCCATGCATGCGTGCCTGAAATCCATGCATGCCTGCACGAAATCCATGCATGCCTGCCTGAAATCTAGACGCACTGCAGCCACGCCTGTGATGCCGCCATCACCCACGGCTCTCTCTTGCCCCCACCCCTTCTCTCTCATTCCTCTCCACTCTCCCCCATCCCCCTCTCCCCCATCCCCCCCTCCCCCACCCCCCTCAGACTACCGCCTCAACTACCGTCTGCACCGCGCCTGCCTGCCTGAGATCCAGAAGCACTGCTCGCACGCGTGTGACGCCGCCAGCACCAACGGCTCCGTCACGTGTGCGGGCACCGTGGTCAAGTGCCTGCAGGAGAATCAGGATCAGATCGAATCCGAAGCCTGCAAGCAGGAGATCACGTCGTTCAGCATCCTCGAAGCAAAGGACCCGCTCTCTCTCGACGTGCCCCTGCAGGCGGCCTGCAAGGGCGACCTGCAGACGCTGTGCCCGGATGTGGGGAGGGACCATGGGAGGAGTTTGGCTTGCCTGAGGGGCAAGAGGGACCAGCTGAGTGCGGCGTGCAAGAAGGAGGAGATGCGGTTCAGCGTGATGGAGGCCTCGGATATTCGCATCACCCCTAGCCTTATGAATGCCTGTGGGCAAGGTATGATCTCGCATGGGTGAGGTATGCGGGCTTGCGGCTTTGAGTGTGGGCGTTGCAGTGTGGAGGGTGCTTTTGAGGCACCTCAAGAAAGGTAAGGGTTTTGGGCTTGAGGCGTGCAAGAAGGAGGAGATGCGGTTCAGCATGATGGAGGCCTCGGATATTCGCATCACCCCCAGCCTCATAAACGCTTGTGGGCAAGGTAGGAACTCGCATGTGGGAAAGGTAGGGGCTTGGACTTACATCCTCCCTCGGTCAATGGTGGGCATTCCTTGGTTTCCTGTGGTGCCTTGATGATGTGGTGATGGTGTGCTTACTTTACTCGCATTTCGGTTTTCAATCTTATCGTCAACCCCCTGATTCAGCCCCCTCCCCTTTCGCTCCCCAAACCCCTTTTCCGCCCCTTGCTGCTCCCACCTTACTCATCATATTTTTCTTATTTTATAAATCTCAGAGACTCGAACTTCGAAGTGTAGGCAGCAGCATCAGCATGCGATAGCCGCTCGTGTGTTGCAATCCCCCACCACCCTTCCTCTCCTACCCCCCCCCCCCCCCCCTTCCTCCTCGCTTCTCTCTCATGCCACTCCTCCTGCTGCATGGCTTCTGCAAAAACCTCATCTATACTCCGCCCACTCTTCCTCCGCTCCTCCCCCACTCCTTCTCCTCCCCTCCCCCACTACCCCTCTGCTCCTCCCCTCCCCCTCCCTTTTCTCCACACCAGAGCTGCAGAGCTTCTGTCGTGACGTGCCGCCCAGGGGAGGGCGCGCGTTTAAGTGTCTGCAGCAGCACGTGAGCGACGTGGGCATGGGCGCGGCCTGCCAGGGCGAGGTTAACCTGCAGGTGGCCCGCAAGGCCGCCAACTACCGCCTGGACGTGCGGCTCAGGGAGGAGTGCCAGGGCGACCTGAAGCAGTACTGTGAGGGCAAGGATGCGGGCAAGGAGGGGCACGCCGTGGTGCTCAAATGCATGGTCGAGAATTTCAAGAGCCTCGCGCCCTCGTGCCAGGGAGAGGTACGTTTGTTGGGTCGAGTGTGGTTGAGTGGGTTGCTGTTGTTGGATGTGCTAGGCGAAGGTGTGTGGAAAGGGTGGCTGGGCGAAGAGTTCAATGTTGTTGCCGCTGTTGCCGCTGCGGAGATAGCTCACACAACGGGAGCTAAACTACGGGGAAGGCACGGGTGTTAGGGGTGATTTTGCGTTCCTTAGTCGTTTGCTCGTGTTCAGACCACTCGCGCATTCGCGGGGAAATTTGGCAAGAGTTTCACTAGTAAAGATTGACAATAATGGTTCATAATGCAAAGCAACAATGGACTACATTAGATGCTAGAAAGCATGCAGGCCGACTACCAGCTTAGTTGCGGAAGACGCGTCGAGCGTCTTAGACGCTGCGCGACGCTAGACGCAAGTTTAGGCAAGATTAGATGCAGGATTAGACGGAAGCTCGGGCAGGACAAAAAAAAGTTTGGGCAGCCTAAAAAAACTTCTATGGGGCATGGGAAGGGTGGTAGACATGCACGTATGTCACAAGTGGACCAATTTTTTCCCTGCCATAACTTTTTCCCTATGCTTAAGAGTTCACAAATGTCTTTACATCTCATCATACATAGTTCGGTTTCCATGTCTCTCTAGCAGTAGCAAACATGAAAGATATTACTACTACCCCATCCCTGCAATCATTAGGAGACGACATGGTTTCGTGAAGGAACTAGCAAAACCCTAAAGGGTTTTTGAAAGAGAATTGGAAGATAAGGGGGATTTGTGCTCCCCAACCCCTTGGTGGTTAGCCATAGAGGTTGGGTATTCTAGATACTAAGCGGTGCAGTGAAGCCTGTGTTCAAATTTGGTTGGGGGGAAGAATCAAATTTGCTTGGGGGGCTGGTTTCTATGGTCGAACTGGGTGGGAGGGGGTTCCTATGTCGCAAAATTGAATTTCGCGTCGAAATCGCGAAATTCAATTTTGCATGCGCTGTTTTTTTTTCGGGCTGCCCGAAAAAAATTGGACTAGGCGTTTAACGTCTAAATGTGCATCTTGCGTCTTTCGCAACTAAGAGTGCTAGCGCAGCACGGTCGACCGCGTTCCAGCATTGCATGGTCTGCAGCAAGGTGGCTGCACAGCGTTGCACCCGCAGGACAGCCGCACACGTGCTTCGCAGGTGCTCGTAGCTGGTTGGCGTGTTATGTCTCTTCACGTTCACAGCGCAAACACCAAGCTGACCATGTGCCCACGACTGTACCTGATCCTCCACGTCGACCTCGGGAACCACACCGAGGTCGGCTTCTGAAGAACCTCCTGGCCGACTCTTGCACACTCCGCAGTGCCCGTCGCCCGGGTAACTGAGTCGACCGGGCAACTAGGTTGACGCCACCTGGTCGGCGTCCAGGCGCCCAGGTCGGCGTCCTCCCTCCTCCCAGGTCGACGACTGCCCTCGTCGACCCCTGGTTGAAGTCGGCCACCGGCGCCCGGCGTCGGTGGCTTCGCAGTGGCCCCCGTGTAGGTCGACCTGCGCCCCCAAATCGGTGACGCCCACTGCAGCAGATCGGCTGCACCTTCCGTACACCCGACCACGACGTCGGCTCCGCCCAAGCGAGGATAGGTAAAAAAACGACTCCCGTTGACAACCGCCGCTCCTGCCCAGTGTGCACATATGTTTCCCCCTGCCCACCTCCCCCTAGGTGTCCTATGTGGTGCACATGGCACTCCTTAAGTACCACCGTTCGGCAGATCTCACAACGTCCTGTCTCCTACGTCTGTTTCGTCAATATCCCCCTTCTCCCCCCTCCCCTCTTCTATCCCCAGGTGTCCTATGTGGTGCGCATGGCACTCTTCCAGTACCACCGTGCGGCTTATCTCACATCGCCCTGTGACGACGCAGTGGACGGCATCTGCCTGGCCCCTGGCGCCCCCAAGCCCAAGGAGATCAACGGCGCTGTCATCGGTGTGTTCGGGCAGTGCCTGCTGTCCGCACAGCCCGATAAGCTATCGGAGGGGTGCCGCGCGCTGGTGCAGGTGGCAGGGAAGGAGGGGGCGTATGTGAAGGGCGGGCTGGACCAGGCGAAGCTGGATGAGGCTCTGGCGAAGCTGAAAGAGGTGAGCTGATTGCTGAGATGGCTCAAGGTCTGGTGTATGGGACATGACAGGGAGGGAAGGGGGCTTTCTGACGTGTGGGCTGGACCAGGCGAAGCTGGATGAGGCTCTGGCGAAGCTGAAAGAGGTGAGCTGATTGCTGAGATGGCTCAAGGTCTGGTGTATGGGACATGACAGGGAGGGAAGGGGGCTTTCTGACGTGTGGGCTGGACCAGGCGAAGCTGGATGAGGCTCTGGCGAAACTGAAAGAGGTGAGCTGATTGTTGGGTTGACTCAAAGGTCTGGTGCATGTGGTGCGGAAGGAGAGGGAAGGGGGAGGGCTGGGCTTTTGACGGGCGGGGCGGGCTGGACCAGGCGAAGCTGGACGCGGCTCTGGCGAAACTGAAAGAGGTGAGTTGGTTGTTGAGTTGGGCATAGTGATGTGAGAGGTGAGCACAGTGATGTGAGAGGTGAGCTGAGCACAGTGATGTGAGAGGTGAGCACAGTGATGTGAGAGGTGAGCTGAGCACAGTGATGTGAGAGTGAGGCGAGTGCGATCACACAGTACATCTTCATGGTTTCATATCTTGATGTCATGCAGTGTCCATTGATAGCTTGCAGCCCCTTATTCCATCCATCTTGTGTCATCTCATTTCATATCACCCTTCACCCCAACCACCTGTGTTCACCAGCTCCCTGCGGCAGCCGCAGCAGACGGGTCGACTGGCAAGTCTGGGCTGGTGATTTCAGGCTGGCTGGCCTTCGCAGCTCTGGTGGCTGTCGTGGTCGTTGCTGTTGCGGCAGGCTTTGGCATTTACCACAAGTATTTCAGCCCCACTCGCAACTACACCTTGGTTGTCAAATCAGCTCCCCCAGGCACCGTTTAGGTAGTGCCCGGTTACGAACACCAAATACGGTACTAGTTGATGTGTAGGGCGAGAGTTTTGTGCTCTTAAACTCGTCCTAGGTTGCCCTTACTGTAACTTATTTGTATGGCACACAGACAAGAAAGCATGGGATGATGCTGTAACCAAGGATTTTTATGTACCACAAACGGTTTCTTATAGTCAGCTGAAACAATCGTTCTGACGTCCCTATTCTGCACGATTCCCCAAGGTGTCCCCCTTGAAACGAATCTAGGGTTCCCCGCACCTCCTGCTCACTTGGCCGGAGCACAAACGCGTACCGATGGGTTGGAGCTACACCCAGTTCAACCACCAGTGGCGGCAAGGTGACAGGAAGGATGTCCTAATAGCGCCGTGGCGCCTCTCCTCTGCAGACGAGAATTCTCCCCACTCCCCCACTGCGTTTCCTCTCTCTGGCTATCTCAGAAGTTCGTCTGAGTGCGGCTCAATGAGATTTTCTTTGTTGTACCACGGTCAATGTAATGTTTGCACTGGTTGGGTAGGGTACTCAGCAAATATGAACATGTGGGACACGTCCGTGCAGCTGCTTTGATCTCGTCCGAATATACGGTTTCCGTATGCGCCCCTTTCCACCAATCAGTTCCATTCCTTTTTCCAGGGGCTCAGAATATCAGGGCGTTCTACTCTGTAAACCTGTGTTTTTAACGAGTTTTTACCACCGCTCTAAACAAAAAGCTTCCCCTAAATACCTTGACAACTTAATTGCAAATCTCGCCCTCCTTCCCCTCCCGCGCAGACCAGCTTCCTGTCTAGTTCTACAACGTTTGTTTTAAACGCCGACTGGGCCTGTGCTGGTAGGATCACGGAAACAGTGCCGGTTATATTTGACACTGCTCGTTTCGACATGGGGAGAAAAAGCCTGCAATTTCTTGGCTATGCTGCGCGTGGCACACTGCAGGTAGGGTGAACTTATTCACAACTCGGATCCGTCAGGTTCCTTCAAAACGAATCGAGAGCCCTTCCGAATGGCGCGCGCCTTGGGGTTGGTGGGAACGCGTTACTCCTGGCATGGGGGTGAATTTTCCTCAACTTCACATGGCAGGGAGGACTGACACCGACATTCGTTTCAATTTACCAGTGTTTTGCTTGGTGCAGTACAATCCAAAGCGGTATTACAGAGTGTGCGCAGTTTATTGTGTGGAAACACACAGAACCACGGTGAAGGACGAGTGGAGGGCATTCACGACATTTCTGTAGAGGCGCTGGATGTGGGCTTCACGGATGCATCTGTTTGTGTGTAGCTGATGAGCCAAGCAGAACCACAGAATATGAAAAAACCGCCATCATCTTTCGGCTAGACAGGTGTCGCGTCGATTGGGCACTGTGGGTGCTAACTTACCATGCAAGATCTCCTATAATGGCGTGCGTGTTCCACCAAATTAGTCTTAGGAAGAGTTCGTAACATCAAGCTCTCGTGTCAACACGATTGACCATTGACTTTTTGAGTTAATCAAATGTCACGGCAGTCTGCAGCGTGCTCTCGTGTTTCTATTACGATGATCTTCAGAGTATGAGCTGCATCGCTGGAGAAAGCCGATGAGATACGCTCGTTAACTTCGACCTTCGAAACGTGTCGCAAGGTAACATTAGGCTCATGAAGTTTACTCTCGTACTCTCGGCCCAGGACCATAGTAGTGACGCTTAGTAGGTACTTCGGAGTGACGTTGCGAACATAGTAGCTTGGGTTTTGCCTTTGCTCAGTACGTTGGATTTCTGCGACGAATTACTGGCTTCGTAGAACTCGCCGCATTCACAGCCATCACAATTCGACACATCGACACCCCATTTTTGCCCAGTCGGCAGAAGCAACCACAGACTCGTTTCGTTGCGCGCGTTCGCCCCAGCACCAAAGAACCGTCCGGAACCACGCAGCACCGCAGCCATCATGGGAGTCCACGAAAGCCCCGAGGAGCAGCTACTAACAGTGGTAAACCGGCTCCCTGCACACCCGAAATCCGTTCACAACAAATCCCAAGGAGTCCCGGGCCAATGGAAAAGTGGCTCAGTCTCGAAGCAGACGTCGGGCTTGTGCTTCGGTTTGAGGGAGTGGAGAAACGCGGAGCGCGGGGGAGCGGACGCGGACCCATCAGCGCGCGGGGGCGCGGGCGCGGCGGATCCGTCGACTGGTTACTGGGCGCTGTTCCGCCTTGCGCTGCCGTCCATTCTGCTGCAGAGCGGCTCGCCCCTGGCGATCACGGTGCAGACGGCGCTGCTGGGCCGCAAGGACACGCAGCTCGTCGCCGCGTGGGCCGTCGTTGCGAGTGAGTTTGGGGAGAGGTGATGTGTGTGAATCAGATGCTGTGTGGGGGGCCGCATGGGGGTGCGTGTGGGGCATCGAGTTGCACAAGGCGATGCTGGACCGCAAGGGCACGCAGCTAGTCGCTGCGTGGGCCGTGGTTGCGCGTGAGACTGACGCACACGAGTGAGCGTGATGAGAGTTGACGTTTGACTCGGATGCTGTGTGCGGGGCATGGAGATGCGCGCGCGGGGCGTGGGGATGCACGCGGGGGCCACGGGGATGCCCGCGGGGGCACGGGGATGCGCGCCGGGGCCATGGAGATGCGCGCGTGCGGTGGGGGATGCACGCGTGCGGTGGGGGATACGCGCGTACGGCATGGGGATGCGCGCCGGGACCATGGGGATGCGCGGGGGAGAGCATGGGGACGCGCGTGGGGCACGGGGGAGCGCGCACGAAGCATGGGGATGCGCGCGGACAGGACTGCACCAGCAGAGCGACGAGCTTGCAGGGGCAGAGCAGAGGCAGGCAGGGCCCTCTCGTCTGATTTTGAGGCGCCTCAAAATCGCCCACTGGCCGGCACGGCTCGCGCCTCGCCTGCTTTGCCGCTTGTACCTTTGTAGGCACCGAGCTGATGAGTTGATTCTGGTGGCAATAGCCGGTTCGGTTGGCTTCCTCTCCCTCCCACCTTCTCAATAATCAGATGCCTGCAGCTTCTCACTTGCTCATCACCCTTTCTCATCCTCGTTCCTCATCACCCTTTCTCATCCTCGTTCCTCATCACCCTTTCTCATCCTCATTCCTCATCACCCTTTCTCATCCTCGTTCCTCATCACCCTTTCTCATCCTCGTTCCTCATCACCCTTTCTCATCCTCGTTCCTCATCACCCTTTCTCATCCTCGTTCCTCATCACCCTTTCTCATCCTCGTCCTCATCACCCTTTCTCATCCTCGTTCCTCATCACCCTTTCTCATCCTCGTTCCTCATCACCCTTTCTCATCCTCGTTCCTCATCACCCTTTCTCATCCTCGTTCCTCATCACCCTTTCTCATCCTCGTTCCTCATCACCCTTTCTCATCCTCGTTCCTCATCCTTCTCATTTCACCGACCCTCCCCCTTCCCTTGTCCTCACTCTCCCACTCTCCCTCCCCCATCCCCTTTCTCTCTCCGCATCTGCTCCTCCTCGCAGCGGCCACGAATGCAGCGACAGTCATTTTCAACTTCCTTGTTGTCGGCGTCACAGCTAAGGTGAGGTGGCAGCTAAGGTGGGCGGCAGGTACGGACGGATAGCTGCCCTCGGATGAAGTTGCCAACCTCGGATTTGCACGGCGCTTTGAGCATTCTATAAAAATCTACCAAAGGTTGCTGTGGGCACTGCTGTCCAATAGCTTGTTACCACCCCCAACTCTGCTTCCCTCTGCTGTGCAACTCTCTGCGCTGCTCGTCTATGCAGGTCACCAAGGTGGTAGCAGTGGGCGCGTGGGCGCAAGTGGGGGTGCGAATCCACCTCGCATTCGCCATGGCTTTAACTACCAGTGCACTGGCCGTGGCGCTGCTGCTGTCCTCTCAGGGGCTGCTGTGGGCGCTGCTAAGTGACTCGCCCTCCGTGCTGCAGTACGCTAAGAGTTACTTTTACTTGAGAGTCATGGGCGTGCCGCCGCAGCTGCTGCTGATGTGCACTTCCGGCGTGCTGCAGGGGTACAAGGTACAAAACACTTCAAGCTATGGGTATGTGTTACACGGTAGTAGTATGGTAGTTCATTTCAGACTGGAGAGTCAAGGGAGTTAAGGGCACAAGGATTGACGTGAAGTGCTCTTATGAAGCGACCCCATCTTGACTTTTTTTTTTTTTTTTTTTTTTTCCCTTGTTTCTTGTTCGTTTTCAAAAGCTCGGTATCTGCCCTTCGCTTCCCGTTTCTCCCCGTTCTCCTCCATTCCACCCTCTCAGCACGTGGCGCTGGTGGCATGGCTGCAGGCAGCACGAGCGCTGCTGGACGTTGCCGCATCCTACCTCTCCCTCTACGTCCTTGACTGGGGCATTGTGGGTGTTGGCATCGGCACCTTCCTCGCATCCTGCACCGTCGCAGCTGTTTCCTTAGCCTGTATCCTCCTCCTGCCGCCTCCCCAGGGCAAAGGGAAGATTGTTGTTTTCCCACCCATCCTGTCGTTTCTGGCTCGGAAGGTCGCCGTACCGCAGGTTCTGCTCTGCCGAGCCTTGAGCCAGCGGGTTTCCCGGACCTGCTCAAAGGTCCGGGTGGGTGGTGCAGCGGCGTTGGCGGACGCTCAGGTGCTGCTGCTGGATGGGAGGGAGAGGGAGGGGACTGGGAAGGAGGTGGGCGGGATAGAGGAGACAGTACTGGCGGTTCTTGAAGGGAGAATGTTGAAGGCGGGTAGAGATGTTGCTTCAGTGCATGCGAATGATCAACGGGCACATGGGTGTGCGCGTGAAGATGAGGCGCGAGCGAGGGACGAGCAGGCAACCAGAGTGGGAGGTCGGGAGGAGGAGGGAAGGGATGTAGAGGGAGGGGATGAGGAGGGAAGGGAGGAGGATAGGGTGGGGAGGGAAGGTGAAGCAGAGGGGGGAAGGAGGAGTCAAGCGGATGATGCAACGCATAGCCGGATGGTCGCAGAGGAGCCTGAAAACGAGGGTGATGGAATTGCTTATAACGAGGACATGGTTATGGGTGGGGATGGAAGTGGCATGCGGGAAGGGGGTTGTGCGGAGAGTGTGGAGGTCAGAGTGGTGGTGGGGAGGGAGGAAACTTCCACGGTGCTGCTTTTGAAGACTGGGGAGGAGGAGAGAGTGGAGAAGGGGGGGAGTGTGAGGAGTGATAAGGGAGGGAGTGGGGGCAGTAACATTGGAGAAAGGAGGGGCGGAGAGAAGGGAGAGGGCGCGGAGGGGAAGTGCAAGGCGGAGGAGATGGAGGAGGCGAGGATAAACGAGGTGCTGAATGAAAGCCCATGGACGTTTCTGAGGGACGGATTGAGCACCATCCTCAGAAGCACTCTTGTACAGGTGTGCGTGTGCGTGTGCGTGTGCATGTGTGTGTGTGTGTGTGTGCGTGTGAGTGTGTGAGTGTGTGTGTGTGTGTGTGGGTGTGTGTGTGTGTGTGTGTGCGCCTGTTCGTGTGTGCGTGTGTATGGGCATGCGTGTGGGCGGCTTACCAACTCCCATTCATTCTCTCAACCACCTGTACGGAACAATATACTATACCACTTTTTTCCCCGCCCTCACCTCCCCGGCCATTCCCAGTTGAGAATTTTATTCACCCGCCTTCTCCTGTCGCTGGCACCCTCCCTGGCACACGTCCCATGCAGCTCTCTTTCTTCCTCGTGCTCGCCTGTGCCACTTCACTCGGCGTGCATGCTGTAGCTGCGCATCAGGTGCGCCATTTCCCGTCGCCCTCCCCGTTTTCGCTCCACTTTACTCTCATTTGGCCTCCCTAGCCTTCCTGTGCCCCCGCCAAACCACCCCTGCTCCGTGCTTTCCTTTATTTCCCTTCCTTCCCTTTCTCTCCCCTTCCTTTCCCTTCCTTTCCCTTCCTTTCTCTTTCCCTTCTTATTCGTTCCTTTCATTTCTATTCACATTATTTTCCTCCGTCTCCCTTCCCGTTCATTTCATTTCGTCCCCTTCCCTCCCTTCTAAACCTTTTCCTTACTTTCCTCCCTTTACCTTCGTTCGTCATGCCCCATGCCACATGCCACATGCCACATGCCACATGCCACATGCCCCATGCCACATGCCACATGCCACATGCCCCATGCCACATGCCACATGCCACATGCCCCATGCCACATGCCCCATGCCACATGCCCCATGCCACATGCCACATGCCACATGCCCCATGCCACATGCCCCATGCCACATGCCACATGCCACATGCCCCATGCCACATGCCACATGCCACATGCCCCATGCCACATGCCACATGCCACATGCCCCATGCCACATGCCACATGTCACATGCCCCATGCCACATGCCCCATGCCACATGCCCCATGCCACATGCCCCATGCCCCATGCCCCATGCCACATGTCCCATGCCACATGCCCCATGCCACATGCCCCATGCCACATGCCCCATGCCCCATGCCCCATGCCCCATGCCACATGCCACATGCCACATGCCACATGCCCCATGCCACATGCCACATGCCACATGCCCCATGCCACATGCCACATGCCCCATGACACATGCCACATGTCACATGCCCCATGCAACATGCCACATGCCACATGTCCCATGCCACATGCCCCATGCCACATGCCCCATGCCCCATGCCCCATGCCCCATGCCCCATGCCACATGCCACATGCCCCATGCCACATGCCCCATGCCCCATGCCACATGCCCCATGCCCCATGCCACATGCCCCATGCCACATGCCCCATGCCACATGCCACATGCCCCATGCCACATGCCACATGCCCAATGCCACATGCCACATGCCCCATGCCACATGCCACATGTCACATGCCCCATGCAACATGCCACATGCCACATGCCCCATGCCACATGCCCCATGCCACATGCCCCATGACCCATGCCCCATGCCACATGCCACATGCCACATGCCCCATGGCCCATGCCACATGCCCCATGCCCCATGCCACATGCCCCATGCCCCATGCCCCATGCCACATGGCCCATGCCCCATGCCCCATGCCACATGCCCCATGCCACATGCCCCATGCCCCATGCCCCATGCCCCATGCCCCTTGCCCCATGCCACATGCCCCATGCCCCATGCCCCATGCCACATGCCCCATGCCCCATGCCCCATGCCCCATGCCCCATGCCACATGCCCCATGCCACATGCTCCATGCCCCATGCCCCATGCCACATGCCACATGTCACATGCCCCATGCCACATGCCACATGCCACATGCCACATGCCCCATGCCCCATGCCCCATGCCCCATGCCACATGCCACATGCCCCATGCCCCATGCCCCATGCCCATGCCACATGCCCATGCCACATGCCACATGCCACATGCCACATGCCCCATGCCACATGCCACATGCCACATGCCCCATGCCACATGCCACATGCCCCATGCCACATGCCACATGCCCCATGCCACATGCCACATGTCACATGCCCCATGCAACATGCCCCATGCCACATGCCACATGCCCCATTCCACATGCCACATGCCCCATGCCCCATGCCACATGTCACATGCCCCATGCAACATGCCACATGCCACATGTCCCATGCCACATGCCCCATGCCACATGCCCCATGCCCCATGCCCCATGCCCCATGCCACATGCCCCACGCCCCATGCCCCATGCCCCATGCCCCATGCCCCATGCCCCATGCCACATGCCCCATGCCCCATGCCCCATGCCCCATGCCCCATGCCCCATGCCCATGCCACATGCCCCATGCCACATGCCCCATGCCCCATGCCCCATGCCACATGCCACATGCCCCATGCCCCATGCCCCATGCCCCATGCCCCATGCGACATGCCCCATGCCACATGCCCCATGCCCCATGCCCCATGCCCCATGCCACATGCCCCATGCCCCATGCCCCATTCCCCATGCCACATGGCCCATGCCCCATGCCCCATGCCACATGCCCCATGCCCCACATGCCACATGCCACATGCCCCATGCCCCATGCCCCATGCCCCATGCCACATTCCCCATGCCCCATGCCCCATGCCCCATGCCCCATGCCCCATGCCCCATGCCTCATGCCCCATGCCCCATGCCCCATGCCCCATGCCCCATGCCCATGCCACATGCCCCATGCCACATGCCCCATGCCCCATGCCCCATGCCCCTTGCCCCATGCCACATGCCCCATGCCCCATGCCCCATGCCACATGCCCCATGCCACATGCCCCATGCCGCATGCCCTATGCCCCATGCCCCATGCCCCATGCCACATGCCCCATGCCGCATGCCCCATGCTCCATGCCCCATGCCCATTCCCCATGCCCCATGCCCCATGCCCCATGCCCCATGCCACATGCCCCATGCCCCATGCCCCATGCTCCATGCCCCATGCCCCATGCCCCAAGCCCAATTTCCACCCCCGCAGATCCTCATGCGGCCGCAGGAGGGAAGCATCTACATCGCAGATAGAGTCGCTGCTCCCGAGACCTAAACCTCACCCCTCCCCTCCGCCCTCCCTCTTCCACCATTTGCTCATTCCCGTCCCCCCACTGCAGATCCTCATGCAGCTGTGGATGGTCAGATGGCTTTGCCACAGCGGGCACCATCATGGCCAGCAGCTTGGCTTGAAACCTTCTCCCTTCCCCTTTTCCCATCCCTCCCCCCTCTTCCTCCCCATGCCCCGATGCCCCACTACAGATCCTCATGCAGCTGTGGATGGTCAACATCTACATCGCAGATGGCTTTGCCACAGCAGGCACCATCGTGGCCAGCAGCCTGGCGGGACGGATGGCGCAGGCGCAGACCAGGGGCGAGCATGCAACCCTCTTGGCGGACCTGAGGCTCGTGTGCTGGCGTGTGCTGCGCATGGGATTGATTGCAGGTGAGGGAGGGGGTTGGGGGGAGGCGAGGGAGGGGCATGGGAGCATGTGAGGGTGGGGCATGGGGGCAGGTGAGGGAGGGGGATGGGGGCAGGTGAGTGAGGGCCTTTGAGGATGTGTATGTGCCATACAAGGTTGGGAAGATGGCGCTTGTGCAGAGCATCATGCAGCACTGCTGGCGGACCTTGGGCTCGTGTGCTGGTGCGTGTTGCGCATGGGACTGGTGGTAGTAGGTGATGATCTGAATTGATTCGAAAGAGGCCCATATGCCAATCCCCACGTGTGCCTCATCACTGCAGCATGCACTGGATCACTTCATAACGAAGCAGTTGCCTTCTCCCTGCCGCTTATATTCTCTATCTAAACCAGGCGTGCTCATATGTGCAGCAGAGCATACACATCCCTAGAGCGCCACTTCACGGCTCCCTTCACATACGATGAGGCTGCGTAGGCTTAGGCAACACCGCACCGCATACACATTGCTGGAGCACCACGTCACGGCGCTCTTCACGTCTGACGAGGCCACTTAGGCACCCCCTGACCCTCTCTCTCTCCCTTCCCCTCCCCCCCGTCGACCTCCAGGCATCCTCATCTGTGCGGCATACACATCCCTGGAGCGCCACATCGTTGCGCTCTTCACATATGACGAGGCCACCAAGGCGCAGCTGAGGCACGTGTGGCTCTTCCTCGCGCTCATGCAACCACTCAACTCCGTGGTGAGTGAATGGAGTATTCTCTACGCGCCCAGCCCTTCTCATTCTAATCACCTTCCCTCGCCATCCACCCTACCACCCCCCCCAGGTATTCGTCTTTGTAGGTCTCATCTACGTCCGTCTCGTCCACGTCCGTCTCGTCCACGTCCGTCTCAAATAGGTCCGTCTCATCTACGCGGCTCAGGCCTCCTCCTACATGGCAATGCACCCTACCAGAGCGCAGTGCCCCTCATTCCCCACTTTCCGGCCCCCCTCCTTCCTCCTAATTTCCTGTATCCTCGGTCCACCCTATCCTCCCAGGTATTCGTGTATGATGGTCTCATCTATGCGGCACAGGCCTTTTCCTACATGGCGGCATGCTTGGCTGTTGGTTTTTTCACGCTCTTCCTTCCCATCGTCTGTGAGTGCCTCCCCCCTCTTCCCCCTCCTCCCTCCTCCTCCTTCTAATATCCCTTCCCCGCCCTCATCGCTCTCTGTTCCCCCAGGTATTCGTGTACGATGGGCTCATCTATGCGGCTCAGGCCTTCTCCTACATGGCGGCGTGCTTGGCTGTTGGCTTCTTCACGCTCTTCCTTCCTGTCGTCTGTAAGTGTCCTTCCTTCCACCTTTTCTGCTTCTCTCTACTGGTCATTGATGCCAGCAATGCCATATTTTGCCCTCAGTTCCTCCGCATTAGTATATTGTTTCCTTCATTCCCTTTTCCCTTCTCCTCGCTTTTTCCTTCTCTTCCCTTTCCCTTTTCGCCTTTCTCCTCTCTTCCCTTTCTCCTCGTTCACTTATCCACCTCTTCCCGTTTACCGTCGTTTCTCTTGTCCACCTCTCCTCATTCGCCTTGTCCCATCTCTTTCGGTTCCCCCTCCATTCACACCGCTCGTATACCTTCTCCCTCTTCTTTTCCTCCTCCTCCCCCCCGCATCCCTTGCCGCTTTCCCATTCCCATTTCACCAACTCCCTCTTCTCCCCCATCTCTTCCCCTCCCTCCCTTCTCCCTTCTTCCAATTCAAGACGTTTCTAGCCGCGTGGGCGGCCAAGGGGGTGCTGAACACAATGACTTCTGAGTCGGGCAGCAACTTGAATCCTCCATCTCCTTCGCTCAACGCCTCCTCCCCCTTCCCTCCCAATCCCCCCTCCTACAGCACTTGCATTCTTCCACTTCAAGACCCTTCTGGCCGCGTGGGCAGCAAAGGGGGTGCTCAACGCGTTGCGCTTTGCAGTCGCGGGATACAAAATCCACTTTGATTTCCTCTGCCCCGATGGATCGCACCTCCCACCTGCACCGTCCACCGACCCTCAATCCCACAACAAGGCACCTCCTCAACCTTTCACTGATCCATCCCACAAGGCGGATCACAAGGCACCACCCCAACCATCATCCTACCCAGCCCAGAGACCATCCCCTCCTCCACAGCCTCCTCATGTGATTCAACATAAAAGGGCATCACCCCCACAGTTGCTGAATCCCCTCAGAGCACAAGACACTTGACGGCCTGTGCAGTCTAGATAACCCCTTGAGACTGCACCATGCTCCCACTCGTACCAAAGTTCCACTCGAGAACGACCACCACCTTGACAGCCTTCACTCTCGCCCCCTCAACTGCTCATGCTACTCATCGCCTCCTTACATCCATGACCAGTCCCGCTGCTCCCTGGTGCCCGTACCGTACCTCCTCCCACCGCACACGACCACTTGACGAGCAGCTCGTTGGCAAAGCCAATCTCCAAAAATTGTTGCAGCAGGCGGCAGCATTTTTACTGTACAAAGGTTGAGGAGTGCCCGCCCGTCAAATACCGTACCGTAGCATGAAACTCGCCACTGTTTTACGCAGTGCTTGCCTTGAAATGAAACCCTGATGCATTTTTCAATACCGTAGCATATTGGGAGCTCATACCCTCCGTCCACACCGAAAGGTCCTCTACGCATTCAGTGGCAAGGTGGTGTGATTGTGCCTTTTCTCTCTCAATCTCATCCTGTTGCTGCTTCCACTTGCCTCGCCATCCTGTTGAGGGAGGGAGGGAGGGAGGGGAGCGAGGGAGAGGGAGGGAGGGAGGGAGGGAGGGAGGGAGGGAGGGAGGGAGGGAGGGAGGGAGGGAGGAGGGAGGGAGGGAGGGAGGGAGGGAGGGAGGGAGGGAGGGAGGGAGGGAGGAGGGAGGGAGGGAGGGAGGGAGGAGGGAGGGAGGGAGGGAGGGAGGGAGGGAGGGAGGGAGGGAGGGAGGGAGGGAGGGAGGGAGGGAGGGAGGGAGGGAGGGAGGGAGGGAGGGAGGGAGAGGGAGGGAGGAGGGAGGGAGGGAGGGAGGGAGGGAGGGAGGGAGGGAGGGAGGGAGGGAGGGAGGGAGGGAGGGAGGGAGGGAGGGAGGGAGGGAGGGAGGGAGGGAGGGAGGGAGGGAGGGAGGGAGGGAGGGAGGGAGGGAGGGAGGGAGGGAGGGAGGAGGGAGGGAGGGAGGGAGGGAGGGAGGGAGGGAGGGAGGGAGGGAGGAGGGAGGGAGGGAGGGAGGGAGGGAGGGAGGGAGGGAGGGAGGGAGGGAGGGAGGGAGGGAGGGGAGGGAGGGAGGGAGGGAGGGAGGGAGGGAGGGAGGGAGGGAGGGAGGGAGGGAGGGAGGGAGGGAGGGAGGGAGGGAGGGAGGGAGGGAGGGAGGGAGGGAGGGAGGGAGGGAGGGAGGGAGGGAGGGAGGGAGGGAGGGAGGGAGGGAGGGAGGGAGGGAGGGAGGGAGGGAGGGAGGGAGGGAGGGAGGGAGGGAGGGAGGGAGGGAGGGAGGGAGGGATGGAGGGGAAGGAGGGAGGGAGGGGAGGGAGCAGGGCCTCAGATTGGTTTTTGTGTACCCTGAGCACTCAGTGTCCCTAGGCGGGTAACACTGATTTTCAGTGTCGTCTAGTGTGAAACACTGAATTTACAGGGTTGTTAGAAATAAAACGCTGATCAATCAGGGTTTCTACAACTTCAACACTGATCAGAATAGTTGCTTATACTGGTATGCTGTCATAACACAGCGAATCAGACTGCCCTCACTTTACAATTCCCAAATTCGGCCAGGATTCTGCTATTTCCGTGTCTGATTGGTCAGAAATCTTGTCTGACCAATCGAATAGGACAATTGTTAAGAATTGTTTCTGATCTCTGGTTGTGTACTTGACTGATGATTCGGACTTGGTTCGTCACAGCAGATTCGCCCTGACGGCAATTTCGACCTCGCACAGTCGTTACGCGCTGTCGCAGCACAGCAAATTCGCCCAATCACAGCAGATTTGCCCTGACACAGCAGCAGATTCGCCCCTCACACACGAGATTCGCCCTGTCAGAGCATGTTTCGCCAGAAATCCCCTTGGTGCACGGTGCACAGTGACGGCGCGCCAAAACAAGGAGTTTTCGGTTTCAGGGTAGATCCCGATACAACACCGACTCGTCAGTGTCCTCAAACACAAAACACTGGAAAATCAGAGTTCGAAATTTAAAAACACTGAAACATCAGGGTCGTTGAAAAAAAAAGGCTGATGCATCAGGGTCATGATAAAAAACGGGGGTCAAACTTCAGGAATTCAGGGTAAAATTCCTGTCATCTGAGGCCCTGGGAGGGAGGGCGCTGGGAGGAACTAGCTGGCTGCTAGAGCCCTGGCTGCTAGAGCCCTGCTAAAGCAGGCCCTGGGAGGAACTAGCTGGCTGCTAGAGCCTTTATACTAAGGAACTAAGGATGAGAGGCTGAGGGAAGAGGCCTAGATGCCTCTCTCTCTCTCTCTCTCTCTCTCTCTCTCTCTCTCTCTCTCTCTCTCTCTCTCTCTCTCTCTCTCTCTCTCTCTCTCTCTCTCTCTCTCTCTCTCTCTCAAGCAGTCCTTCATTAAGAATATAAAGGGTACAACCAATATAAAGGGTACAACCAGGCAATACATGCATTTGAAGAGAAGCACGACAAGGGCCTAGCCACTACCCCAGCCCCTAAGGAACTCGACTGTACACGGTCCACAGAGTGGCTGGGGTGCTCCCTGCCTCTGTTTGCAGCTGCCCCGTTCCATTAGAGCCCTCCTCGAGGCCCAAGCCCCCGCCCCTCACAGGTCTAGGGGCGGTCCCCAGTCCAAGTCATCCTCGATGACTTGCCATAGGTCCCCCAGGTGAGGTTCCCATGGGTCCCTCGGGGCTTGCGGGTAGGCGCTTTCCGTGGCCCGGTTTGACCTGGCCAGGAAGGTGTTCGCCTGGCTCCGCTGCAGCGTCACCGACCAGCGCTGCCTGTAGTGGGCGGTGAGCTTGGAGGCCATAGTGGTCAGCCTCCCCTGCCGATACTTCTTTTTTGCCGCCTGTGTTCCCATTAGCCGCAAGAATCGCTGTGTGTCTCGTGCCAGGGCTCCGTATGTCTCGACCGCCAGCCCTAGCACCCCCACATAGTCCGGCCGTCCTTCATATAGTCCCCTCTTCCCCCTCGCCGCCTCCTCGGCCGCCCATCCCGGTGGTTTCACCGCCCTTGTGTCGCGGCGTTGCAGGACCGGATCCGTCACCGTGACGTCAGTCACCCACGTTTCGGCCGACTCCCTGTCCTTGAAAGCCAGGTCAGCTCGCTTGGGGTTAATAGCGGATCCCCTCGAGCGCTGTGGATGGATCTGACGTTGAAACCCTTGTCCAGTAGCAGCGGTGATGGCGCGCCGTATAACGTCCGTGCGAAGGGGAGGAGCACCCTGGGCGGAGGGCGCAGTTTGAGGTGGCGCCGCTGGGGTTTGAGCGACACGCGGCGAGTTGCTCTGGCTCGCCTGCCGGTTCCACTCCTCGCGCACAGCAGCAGATTCCACGCACTACAGATCTGCCATCGTTACCGGTTGATCATGCCCCCAGCCGCCACCGCGCTGACGCGGCCCCCACCAGCCGCCGCGCCCGCCGCGTTGAGCTGCCCAGTTCGCCCAAGAACCGCAGCGACAAGGTGAATTGTGGCGGCGCCAGGACGTCTCGCGCTCGTCTTGTCGTCCGGGGGATTGCGACCGCTGATGACGACGGCCAGGAGACGGTGGTCGCTGCGCAGGAGGAACCGCAGCAGATGGCACAGAAGGAACAGCCACCGGCGGCACCGGAGGAACAGCCACAGGCGACGCAGGAGGAGCAGCCTCAGGCGGTGCATGATGAGCAGCTGCGAGCAGTGCAGGAGTAGCTCCCGCCAGCACAGGCGGAGGCGGCACCAGTGTCGCGGCAGATGGGGGAGCAGGAGCAGCGTGGGGCGCCGCCTGGCCCAGGACGTCAGTGGTGGCGGACTCCACCGATTGTGCCGCCACGCCGCCAGCAACAGTCGCCCGCACGGCGCCCGCAGATAGAGCGGCAAGCTCAGGAGCTAGGAGAGCGTCAGGCGGAGCAACCACAGTAGTTGGTACAGCGAGAGGGACAGCAGGCGCGACAGGAAGAGGCGCCGACAGCGCAAGAGCCTAGCGGTCGCCCTCGCCAGGCTGAGACGCCAACGCCTCGCGAGGTGATGGTGCGAGGCGAGGAAGGTTTCCAGCGTATTCTGTCACGGGCTTCGGAGCAGACGGCAGTGGGGGGCTCGTCGCCATGGTCCCCGTTCCGGAGGCCGACGGTGGCCTTTCGTACACAACTGACACAGCGCCAGCGCGCAATGGCGAATAGTCGGTCGGTCCAGCAATCACCATCGCGGGGCCGAGGAGGACGAGGCAGGGGGAGAGAGGCAGCTAACGGAGCTGGAGCCCGTACATGCAAGTGAGGATGATAGGTAGGAGGCGATGACCGAAGGAGGGAGACTGCGGTGAGCTTGGGAGCAGAGACAAGGGAGTTTTCTGCACAGCAAGGCGAAGTTGCTCGAGAGCCGTGCGATGTTGATCGAACGGGTGTGCTCCCAACCACATCACGACCTACGAGGACGCGCCGCTCTCGGCGAAATCGGACCGCGACAGACGCATCCGCGGCGCGCCAAAATCCCCAATTTCCCCGCTATTTCTCGCCAGAGGAGTTGGTGATGCGGGCAGATATGTTCGGTGACATCGCGAACTGGGACATCCCAGCCCTATGCGACAGTCGGCAGCCGCCCCTGACACGCCGGTTACCACCAAACCTGTGTCAGTTGTTCTCGCTGGCACTACTGACCCCGTTACTTCACCTCTCACGAAACCCAGAATCCGAGTTAGGTTGGCACCTTCTCCTCTTTCTCCCGCGCCTGACCCTTCGCCAAAATTTGCCGCAACGACCGAACTCGCACCAGGTCAAGGCCAGGCTCCGAGCCTTCCAGCATGGCGAATAGGACCAGCTGTACAGAGAGGCGATTGACGCAGTCAATACACCTCCACCACGTCACCAGCCCGACGCTATTGGAGTCATTAGCCGAGCCGAAGGTCTGGCGAAACGCGGCAGCCTGCGCCGAGCCGTGCTGGCACTAGAGTCAACGCCCGTCTGCACACCGAATCCAGAGATTCTGGATGAGCTTCGCCGGAAGCACCCACCCGCTGTCCCAGAGTCGACAACGTGGCCGCCAACACGAGAGTCTAAGCTGTCCATTACCCACGCGGATTTCGCAAAACTTCTGGGAAGATGCGAAAATGGGATTGGAGCCGTGCCTTCGGGTACAACTTTCGAGCACATGCGCGACGCGGCAATCACAAATGGACTGGTCAGCACCCATTTGCACGCATTGGTGAACACCATATTGGAAGGCAACCTTCCAGGCCCGGTGGCGGACCTTCTGACTGCTTCACGACTCATAGCCCTGGCCAAACCTGGGGGGGGGGGGGGGTTGCTCGACCAATCGCAATAGGCGAGTGCCTCACTCGGCTGACAGCTAAAGCAGCCCTCACAGCCATGGGAGACGTTGCCCGTGATTTCTTCTTGCCCCTACAGTACGGGGTGGCAGTGCCAGGGGGAGCTGAGGCAGTTATCCACGCGGCACGGGCATTTCTCGACAAACGGCCTAACAGCTTGGTACTGTAGACCGACATCTCAAATGCTTTCAACAGTATCTCACGACAGGCCATTGCAACAGCGCTACAAGAGCCCAGTCTTTCGCCACTGTTACCGTTGGTGAAACTGACATACGGTAACCCGTCGAAGCTGCATCTCGACGCCAATTTCGAGTGCGAACCACTGACCAGCGAGCGGGGCGTTCGCCAAGGCGACCCACTTGGCGTGTTATTGTTCGCAGTAGGAATACACCCCACGCTCCGTGACACCGCCAAAGCATACCCAGACGTGCTCTATCTGGACTATGCAGACGATGTCACGTTTTTGGGGAATTCAGCAGCGTTCAACCATTTCACCAGCAGACTGGCTCAACTGGGTCTGACACATAACCCACAAAAATGCGCAGCCTGGAGCAGAACCACAGCAGAGCAGGACCAGCTCCCGCGCGGGGTGCCTTTTTCCCAGGATGGCGTGCGGCTGCTGGGAAGTTTCATTGGGCCGGACCATGGGGCGACACAGTTCCTGTTGGACCAGCTGCGGGAAATGGCGAAACCGCTACCCCTCCTTGAGAAAGCTGACCCCCAGGTAGCGTCACTGCTGCTTACCCACTGCATCTCAAGACGCATGGCATATCTCATCAGGACGACACCTCTACGCCTGCTGCCTCGTGATACCTGGAGCCAGTGGGGTATGGACTTGCTTACAGCGTTACTGACCGCGTGTGACATACGCGTCCCTACTTGTCATACCGAGCAAGCACGCGTTTGGGCATAAGCATCACTGCCGTCGTCACTAGGAGGAACAGGCATCACAGACCCCTTAATCGAAGGGGTGTACGGATACACGGCAAGCTTTACCCAGGCTGCGCTTTTTCTAGCCTCGCTGGATACTTCTCCTGATAGCGCGCTGACACAGGCCCGGGACCACATGATACTGCCGAGAGACATCACCACGCCTCTCCACACATGGCTTACTGAGTGTGAAGCGGCATTACCCCTGGACGCGCGCGAAATCCTGGAGAAAGAGCGGCTGGAGCGGTCAGATATTAGACTTCAGCACGCCTTGGCACTGAAAGTCCACGGGAGCAGATATGCCGTACAGGTTAAGGAGACAAGGAAAATGAAACCGAACCCCCTGTTCGGCCACACGCAGTGGATGTTCTCGCTGACCGGTTACGGAACTGGGGACTGGCTAACGGCTATCCCTATAGCGGCGAACAGGAGGATAGGGCCCGTTCACTTGGCCAACGCTGTATGGTTCCGGTTGGGCCTCCCATTCTCTACACCGAAGAACTGCGACTGCTCAGACCACACCGCCATCACGGACCCTCGCCTCCCAAACCACCTCTTCCGCTGTGGCACTGGCAAGCACCGCATCAACACCCATAACGAGCTGCGGGATGCTTGTATTAGTATGGCGCAGGATGCGGGATTCATAGTTCACAGCGAGACAACGGCATACTGCCCCATTGAGGAACAAACAACCGACTTTACCGTGACGGACAGAAGCAGCGGGGCTGTCTACGTGTGCGACGTTACAATCACATACCCAATCAGTACTAGAGATCCTGAGGCACAGAAGGGCAGGGGTTGGGCAGCGCGTGAGTAGGCTGACAAGAAGATCAAACATTACGCTGCCCGGCCGGAGACAATGACTTTCTTCCCACTTGCAGTAGAGACTTACAAGCAATGGCAGCATCAACACCAGCCTAAACAACAATGGCAACAACAGGGCAAGCGGAGCCCGGATTTACATCCGGTGAGCTCCGAGGGCATGGAGTATGCCCGTCAACGTCCGCCACAGCTCACGGACCACCAGCGTACTTGCGCCGATCGCCGCGGCTCCAGATCCTGCGCGCAAGTGTCACCTCAAGCCCCAGACAGCCTCGTCAAGCTGTCCCACAACCGCAGCGCCACCCTCTGCGGGCGCAACCAACGCGGATGCCAGCAGCTGGGCGAGCTGGTCCGCCGCGTCCAAGCAAGTCTCGCGTGGCCGGTCATGAAACGAGTCAGTAGGGATCGCAGGGAGGGACGAGTGAGCCAGCACCTGAATCAGCAGCAGCGCGTCAAGGCTCTCCGCAAGACGGTGCAGCTGGCCGAGTGTCGCCTCGGGAACACGGGTCTGTGGGGGCTGAAGTGCCACCGTCAAGAATGGAAGTGGCTCATCAGCAGCAAGATAAGGAGTGTACTGCGCCCCCGCCGCTCCTCCACCAGCGGCCTCGAACTCTACTCCCGCCACTGGCGGAACGGGCGGCAGGCGAAGACGAGACCCAGGAGCAGCAGCAGAGGCAGCAGGAGCAGGAGCCGACGGGGCAAGGACAGGAGGAGGAAGTGCAGCAGCTGGCGGAAGATCCACGGGAGGCACAGCCCGACGAGGAGCCACAAGCGCCGGCGCGGGCCGCAGTGAACTGCTCTGGCTCTGCGCCGCCCTCTCCTCGCGCACTGCCCTCAACACATCCCGCTGAAGATCCGCCATTGTCACGGGCAGGCGGTATGCCCCACCACCACCACGCCCGCGAGGACCCCTCCAGCCCCCATGACCACCCGGGTGAGCAGGCCAGTGAGACTGCTGGTGGTAGCGCCGAGGAGAATCACGCCGGCGCCGTGACGACTCGCGCTCCTGGTGGAGCGCAGGAGAATGGGGGCGAGACAGGCGGTGGTCAGGCGAGGGGGGGCGCGACGGCTGACCCGCCGGGGCCATCGGCATCACAGTAGGCGCCAATGGCGCAACCAACGGAGCCGGGCCGCCAGTGGTGGCGGACGCCGCCTGCGGTGACACAGCAGCGGCTGGCGCCGACACGGCAGGGACAGCAGCGGGTGGTGCAACATGTGCGGCAGGGACAGGAACAGACGGATCAACACCAGTCGCCAGGGCGGACACCGGGGGCTCAAAAGGAGGAGCTAGGGGAACGGCATCAGCAGTCGGAGCAGACGGAGCAACAACAGGAGCAACGACAGGCGCAGACTGGACGGGCGCAGTCTCGGCAGCAGGAGCCTCGGTTGCGAGAGGAAGAGGCATTCCAGCGACTGTTGTCACGGGCTTCGGAGCCGGCAGCACAGGGGGTTTCATCGCCGTGGCCACCTTTTCGCGCTCAGCCAGGGATTTGGCGACCGCAGCCGACACCGCGACAGCGCGCACTTCAAAACAGCTCATGCCCTCCAGCAATCACCATTCCGAGGAAGAGGTGGTCGTGGTGTCGGTCGGCAGGCAGCGAGCGGAGTAGGCGGAGGTCCGGAGAACGGGTTTCAGGCGGCTGGACGCAGGGCTTCAACCGAGCTAGAGGAGACTTATGAAGCGAAAGAAATTTCAGACCCTACTTATAGGGAGGAGTTAGTCCCTGCAGAGGAAAGGGACAGTGAGGGGGATAGCGAAGGGAATCGAGACACTGCTGGAAGAGAGAGAACGGAGAGGAAGGTTGGCCAAGGTACATCACGATGACACGGAGAAGAAGGAGGGCCGACCGATGGCGATCGGACGGACACGATTCCAACCCCCCCTCGCAACGCGAGGCCGAGCCGCGCTCAAGGAATTCGTCCCGCCCGTGATGAATCAGCGATACAACAGAGCCCACAAAATCCCCGCTACTTTTCGCCAGATGAGCTGGCGAGGCGTGCAGACAAGTTCGCTGGGATCGCGAACTGGGACATTGCGGCACTCTGCGACAGCCAACAACCAACTCTGTCACGACGTTTACCGCCAAATATGTGTCAGCTGTTTTCGCTGGCGCTGTTAACCCCACTCCTTCACCTTTCGTGAAACCCTGACTCGCGCCTGCCCCTTTTCCTGCCGCGTCTCACCCTTCGCCAATCCTCGCCCAAACGACCAAACTAGCCCCAGGTCAAGGCTCGGCTCCGCTCGTTCCAGCGTGGCGAATGGGAGCAGCTGTACACCGAGGCCGTGGACGCAGTCAACACCCCTCCACCGCTACGTCACCAGCCTGATGAGACCAGTGTGATTAGCCGAGCCGAAGGTTTGGCGAAACGAGGCAGCCTGCGACGGGCTGTGCTGGCACTGGAGTCAACACTGGTCTGTACACCCAGTCCAGCTATCGTGGAGGAACTTCGACAGAAACACCCGCCAGCTGGGCCCGAGGCGCTGACTTGGCCGGCCACGCAAGCGTCGTGTCTGACCATCCCCCACGGAGAATTCGTCAAACTCTTGGGCAGATGCGAAAATGGGGTGGGCGCCGGACCATCTGGCACAACCTTCGAGCACCTGCGCGACGCGGCAGTAACTAATGCATCGGTCAGCACCCACCTGCACGCCTTGGTAAATACAGTGCTGACCGGGAAATTACCGCCAGCAGTGGCTGACCTGCTGACTTCCTCGCGCCTCATCGCCCTGTCCAAGCCGGGAGGAGGAACACGACCAGTAGCAATTGGCGAATGTCTGACCCGATTGGCATCAAAAGCGGCCGTGACAATCATGGGCGAGGCTGCACGTGAATACTTTCTGCCACTACAGTACGGGGTGGCTGTGCTAGGTGGAGCAGAGGCAATCATTCATGCCGCCCGGGCCTTCCTAGACGCACGCCCAGATAGCGTCATACTGCAGACGGACATTTTGAACGCATACAACAGCATCTCACGACAGGCGATCACAAATGCGTTACACAACCCCAACCTTTCGCCACTGCTCCCGCTAGTCAAATTGACCTACGGTAACCCGTCGCAGCTCCACTTGGACGCACAGTTCGACTGCAAACCTCTAAACATCGAACGAGGAGTTCAGCAAGGGGACCCCCTCGGCCCCTTGCTCTTTGCTGCTGGAATACACCCTGCATTACGCGAAACCGCTACCGCACACCCACAAGTCCTATGCCTCGCCTACGCTAACGACGTCACATTCATGGGGGAAACCAACGCTGCCATAGCCGCTTTCACCCATTTCACTGGCAGCCTCACACACACCGGGTGTGAAAGAACAAGGAATGAATGAACTAGCAAGCAGGTGGGTACAAGTAGGAAAACCTAAAAGTGTTGTACCCCATATTGTCTACCCCACTACAGCCTACACAGACTATAGCATATGAGTTTGACACACCCCCATAGGCAAAGTGGGGGAGAACAAGAGGTCACAAGACCAGTCAAGCAAAGCAAAGCAAGCTCAGGGTGGATCACAACGTCACCACACAGTCCGAGCACAAGAGCAAGGCCACAAGGCCAGTTCACATGCAAGATCATATATAAAGGTAAACAAGCAAGTGCAGGTATAGAAAGATCACAGTACAAGCAAGGTCAAGAAGTGAGCAAGTGAGGCCAAGTAGGCACAAGACCTAGCATCGTACAGAAGCGCTGATGATCACAAGACGGAAGTGCCTTGGTAAAGATATCAGCAGTGTTGGCCTCAGAGGCCACGTAAGCAAGGCGCAGCTGACCACGCTGCTGCAGCTCACGAGCAAGGAAGTAGCGAAGAGCAATGTGCTTCGTTCTGTGCTCCAGTCTGTGCTCCCGACACAAGGCCAGCATGGCCTTGTTGTCTACGTACAGAACTGGAGGAGAACAAGGCGGCTCTCCTAGGTCAGTCAGCAGGTAGGTGAGCCAGCGTAGCTCCTGTGCAGCCATGGCCCCGCGTAGATCTCAGCCTCACAGCTGGAGCCGAGAACAGAAGACGAGCGGGTAGACCGCCACGAAACAGAGCCGGAGCCAAGGCTGAAGGTGTAACCCTGTGACGACCACTGCGTAGCCTGGTCGTCAGCCCAAGAAGCGTCTGCGTGACCTGTGAGGACCACTGGACTCCGCCCTCCAAGCACGAGCCCCATGCCCGATGTACTGCACAAGTAGCGCAACACCCTCTTCGCTGCAGCCATGTGCTCTGGTCGGTGTCTCCCAGGAGCAACATAGCGTGCCAAGATGCTAAGAGGGTATGCAAGGTCAGGTCGAGTGCAGGTCATCAGGTACATGAGGCAACCAACAAGCTCTGGGTACGGGCCACTCGGCTCTACGGACTCATCCGAAGGCAGAGCTGAGAGCGAGTCGCGAGTAGACAGAGGAGTGGCCTGAGGCGAGGAGTACGTGAAGTCGAAGCGCTGAAGGACCTGCTGCACCATGTGTGACTGAGTCAGGGTAATGGTGCGCTGTGCTCTGTCCCGGGTGATCTGCAAGCCAAGGTAGCTGCGCAGTTCACCCAGGTCTGTGCACGTGTGTCTCTTCTGCAGCTCGGACTTCACGTGGGCGAGTCCAGCAGTGTCAGCAGTGGCAAAGACCAAGTCGTCGACGTACACGAGGATGTAGAACGGCGGCAGAGAGGTGTCGGTGCGCAGAAACAGCGACGGGTCGGCAGTAGACGGAGCAAACCCAAGAGCAGCAAGTGTAGTCCTCAGTGTGTCGTGCCACTCACGGGGCGCCTGGCGGAGACCGTAGACTGGCCGCCGGAGGCTCCACTGGGTACCAGGAGGAAACGACCCAGTGAAGCCAGGTGGGCGGCGCAGCCAGATCTCCTCGTGCAGGCTGCCCTGCAGGAAAGCTGTGCTGAAGTCAAGAGAGTGAAGCTCGTAGTCGCGCTGAGCGGCTATGTGCAGCAGCACCCGAAGAGTGGTCATCTTCGGGGTGGGAGAGAAGGTCTGAAAGTAGTCAACTCCCTGCCGCTGACTGAAGCCTCGAGCCACGTAACGCGCCTTGAAGACAGGCGGAGAACCCGGCGGCCGCTTCACCCTGAAAATCCACATGCCACTGACGATGTTCGCCCCAGGTGGGGGAACCTCGTCGACGTAGGTGCCTGTGGACTTCCAGGAAGCCATCTCTGCGTCCATGGCTGACTGCCACTGTGAGGAGTAGGGACCCTCGATCGCCTCAGCGTACGATCGAGGAGTCGGGATGTCTGGTGCATCCGTGTCTCCCTCAGGGGCAATCAGCGTGGACACGAGATGAGGCAAAGCAGCAGCAAAACACTGGAACTCCTCCTGCCTGTCCTCAAGGACGTCCGTGCTAAGAGCACACTCACCCCCGACGGACGGAGGACAGACAGACTCAGACTCAGCAACGAGACTAGTGGCGTAGTCTAAACGACAGCGAGCAGCAAAGTCGACAAGCTCAGCAACTAAGGTAGACGCAGCAGTGGACGCAAAGGAAGGGTCAGTGACAACAGTGGCCAGGAGACGCGTGACAGTAGGACTGGCAGCACGAAGAGAGTCAGACTCCGGGTCAGCAAGAACAGGAAGAGAGGACTCTGGAGGAGACGGCAACGAGACACGCAGAGGAGCAGTGGAAGGACGCAGTGCGATCTGGTGTGTGCCTGGGACCGCAGGAGGACGCGGACGCAGAGCACGACCACTAGTGCGAGCAGCACGAACAGGCGACGCAGGACGAGACGCAGGCTCACGACGCTCAGCAAGAACTCCAGTAGGACCAGTGTAGGGAGAAGGAGCAGGTAGGGGGGAGGCGGGCTGTAACTGTGACCGCGACTGGACAGGCTGTGGACACTCTAAGGGAGGAGCAGGACCAGTAGAGGGCGGGAGACCAAGAACCTGCTCAAGGAGTGGAACGAAGTACGGCCTCGGCCGCGCAGCGCCTCCAGAACCAGCAGGGACAGCACCAGTACCCCCAGCGGCAGCACCAGCGCCAGCAGCACCTCCAGCTCCAACAGCGCCAACTCCAGCACCCTCAGAAGCACCAGCGCCAGCAGAACCACCAGCTCCAACACCCCCAGCAGCTCCAGCTCCAGCAGCTCCAGCAGCTCCAGCAGCACCAACTCCAGCAGGACCGTCAGCTCCAGTACCGCTAGCAGCTCCAGCAGGACTAACTCCAGCAGCAGCTCCAGCAGCACCCCCAGTCCCAGCAGCTCCAGTACCGCCAGTACGAGCACCTCCAGGACCAGCAGCAACAGTAGTACCTCCAGCTCCAGCAGCACGGCTCCAGCGCCGGGCAAACCACTCGCGCAGCTCCTGCGGAGAGAGTAGCTCCCGCCTCGACGAAGCACCGCCAGAGGCCACACGAGCAGACCCAGCACCCCCAGGCTCCGCACCCCCAGGCTCCGAACCCCCAGGCTCAGCACCCCCAGGCTCTGCACCCCCAGGCTCAGCACCCCCAGACTCAGCACCCCCAGGCTCAGCACCCCTAGACTCAGCACCCCCAGGCTCCGCACCCCCGGGCTCAGCACCCCCAGACCCGGCACCCGCAGGCTCAGCGCCCCTAGCAGCACCAGAGTCAACAGCTACCTCGACAGGCTCGACTGCGTCTACCTGGGACACCCATGACGGGGCAGGACCCTGAGGGGGGAGAGGGTCTACCGGGGGAGGACCTGGCGCAAGGAAGAGCGGCGGCGGGGGGAGGGGCGCAGTGCGGTAGGGGAAGAGACGGTAGTAAGGCACCGACTCGTCAAAGGTGACGTCCTGGGAGGACAGAACACGGCGCGAGGTGGGGTGGTAAAACTGCCAACCAGGCGCGTCAGGGGGGAAGCCAAGGAAGACGCAGGGAACAGCACGGGGGGACAGCTTGTCCGCAGACAAGTCGCGGACAAAAGCCCGAGATCCCCAGACCTGAAACGCAGATGCATCGCCAACCTTCCCCGTCCACCGCAAGGTGGGGGAGGTCTCTGGCAAGGAGACCCGGGGCTGAAGGTTGAGATGATGCGCTACGTACTGAACCGCAAACGGCCACAGAAAATGGGGAGCAGCCGCATGGATCATGGACGTACGAGCGACGTCCAT